CCGTGACGGAATCGTGCGCGATTCCGACGGCACCCCCAGCGGGTTGCCAACGTGAACAGTGACGGAGTCGTGCCACCGAGCACGATTCCGAGGGCACCCCCGTTCGTGTGCCCAGTGAACGCCACTGAGCCCAGCTCAGTGGCAGTGCGCGAATTCGCCGGCGCCCCGACGAGCGCCGGCGTATTGCAGTGCAGTGAACGGCTTTGACGGCGCCCCGTCCGCGGCGGCGCCGATGTGTCATCTGAACTCTGAACAGTGAACTTCATCGACAGTGCTCACTGTGTTTTTCTCTGGTCCACCTGTCTACTCTGCGCTCCTCATTTCACCCTCGTCTACCGTTCGTCATCATCTATCGTCCGGATTTCTTCAATACATTCTTCAAAATTCATCGAAGTTTTTCCTCCGCTACAATAAATGTCCCGGCCCCCATCAGAGGCTCGTCAGGGTCGGCGACAACTGGCATGCATGGTAACACTAACAGCAGCCTTTCTGCAAATTCAGGGCTTTCTGAGATGCATGTCTCGGCTGTTGACCCGCCACCCGGTACAACTTGCTGAAAAGAAGTCATATTCAAGGGGCTCTGATATGAATTGGCGCGCATCGTGCTGTGACATTCTAGAGCTCTCAGCTCATACATGTATTTTGACCTTTCGAAGGACTTTTCGCCAAATCACGGTGCTATGGCTGATCCCTGACATGCAATGTCACTTAAGTGTGGTACTAATCACCGGACTTATTTGCGAGGATGACATGCGGACTTTTCGTCGTATCGAAATTAAAAAAACAACTGCGCACTATTACGTGATTTTCATCAGCAAAGCACTGCTTACGTGACAGCTCAGGTAGAACAGAATGTGATAGGACAGATGCTCGTTAGGCGGCAAGAACCAATTGGTAATGTAATTGACAACTATAAATACCAACTGAAACAAAGACAGTCTCAAGTTTAAAGGCTTGAGGAGCTAGGGCGAAGGTTGTCAATCTGTTGCGTGTATATTTGCCTGGTTATTTGGTAAGTGGCTAGTGAAATCTACACGGAATTACTGCGCATTCCCGTTCGCAGATCAGTTACCTGGGAAACATTCATCAGAGCTATTCCAATGCCTCCAACTTTGAGGAAAGATATTCATTGCCTATTGAGCAACAACATTCCTATTCGGAATTTAATATCTCTTTCGCTCCAAACGGTGAGGTGGTTGTGAAAAGTCCGCCGATCCGACTGGTCGGCCGGCTCATTCACCGAAAACAGCTCCGCTTCAGAGTGGCTCGCGCTGTCAGCCGCCGTCGCCTGGGACGGCCAGGGCGGCCCGATGCGCAGTTCTGGCCCGCTCTGTGCGCTCGCCGTTTGTGACCGTGCCGCCTTGGTCGGACAGGAACTGCGTCGCCGACGCGGCCCTCTACCGTGCCGGAAGTGTGGCCGCGCGGATTGCGCAGGCGACTCCGGCTCGGAGCGCTTAGCGCCGCCTGTCCTGTGAAGGTCACAGTCGGCTGGAAAACGGACTCGGAAAGGCCAGCCCAGTGGAAGATTGAGCCGTCATTAAAATGTTTTCAGGTGGTGGAGAGGGGTGAAAACAGGCGGCGTGTCGGGTGAAATGTGTGGGAGGTAGTGGCGGGGTGCGCTGTGGTGGGCTGGGAAATCGGTCACCGCGGGGTGCGTCCCACAAGGGGTGTAATCGCGCTGGAAAGACACGGCGGCGCTCTGTAATTCTGGTACCCGGTGTGGAGCCTCTGCCCACTGGACAATGATGAAACCGACCGCAAATAGACGTTTATATTTAGCTGCTGCTGTTAAATGTCCCAGATTTCTCGGCTATCGCTGTTAGTCTGGCTATGAGATGATGTCAACTCTGGTCTTGGCTTCCCTTCCGCCTCGGTGGCACGGTGTCTGATGGTGTCTGAGCTTCCTCCGGGACAGAGCTGCAGCCACAGACACAAATCACGGGCGCCGTTTTAATTCCATCCACGTCGTGTAGCGGCCAATGTCGCTATGAACATTGAACCCATACGACCAGAATGGTCTGGGCGGCCATAAATTACAATTATTATCATCATCTCCCCACGAGCCTGGCCATCGATCACACGTGAAATGAAGCTGGGTTCTCTATTAGGGCACACGACACAGTCAGAACTCACCAGTGCCAGATCAAGTAAGATGCCACCCGGGCGGGCGACGCGGCCCGCTCCGTCGCCCGTCGCCGTCGACAGTTATCGTAGCTGACGGTATCGACGTGACGCCCATCTAGCCCCATGGCCCGCAGTGCGGGCGGCGCGGGGCGGGGCAGATCACTGACCCCGCCCGGTGGCTGGCGGAAACGACCAAGGACATGTCAGGCCGGTGTCACCCCGTGAGACCGACCACCGGACCAAGTGATTGACGGTGAGGGGCGGCCGGCGCACAGTGTCCTGGGACGGACAGCCTGCGGCTGATGTCAGCGAGAGGGAAGCCATGGTAAATGCGTCACACAGGCCATACTGGTGCCGAAGCCTATCACAGAGCTGTCACCGTCGGCAACCGAACAATCCGCTCTTATGCAAGGGTGTCGGAGGTAGCTCAGCAGTGCCACCGCCACTCGATTCAGAATTCATGACAGCCATCAGAACGGCTGTGTGGCGAACGGGTGGCTGTGATTGGAAATCCAAATGGTTATCGCCGGGACCGCCTTTATTCAGCTGCTTGACGACCGGCTGTCGTTCACTGCCCGGGGCTGCTCGGCCGCCGCCGTGGGTATGTGTTTGTTCCGATCGGCTCAGTCGGCCTGTGATAGCCGTCTCACCGCCCGCGGCCCGGCTGAAGTGCTGCGCCGCGGTCTACCGGGGCCTAATGGGCACGGCGCGGCCACCTCTGATGGACGGGTGCTCGGCCGATATCGGTAATCGCCAGCGCCGCTCCGCCCCGTTGCCAGCGGCGCTCGCGCAGGCCGTGGAATGGGTCCCGACGCGAGGTCGGCGGACGGATGGTAGATTCTGATCGGTGTTGGGCTTGGGGTGTTGACTGTTTATCCACTCGTTTTCCCTCACGGGTAGGTCATTGGATTTAAAAAAAATCACGCCAACTGAAGCAAGCTGCGCGAAACAGCCTTGACACAATGTGGACAAAGAACGCAGAACCTTCTGTGTTTGCGCCGTGTTCTAGCTCATTGGATGTTCACTCTGACCAGTATCTGTTCTTTTCTAAGCTTATCGTTTCTGTTCCCGTTTCAATTGTCGACCAGCCAGCCAGCTTGTGTCATGTGTTTCTCCTGTTTCCGTTATTGCGCCACGCTCGTGACGTTACGTGACGCGTCGTGACTAGCCGTGACGCTGTAGCGCGCCGCTCCCGGACGGAAACTGTGACCTGGCGGCCCGTACCGAGCGACAGGAGCCACAGGTTTCCGCTCCGTCAGACCACTTTTAGCTGCCGACGAGAATATGCTGACAGGGATGTTGATTGTTGTCGGCTCAGGTCATGGGACGCACTACGCAGTATCTTGTCCTTCCTTCGATGTTTGAAACAGTTTACTGCTACCACCGGTGGTTAGATAATTTGTATTAATCATCGGCGATAAATGTGCTTTGATATTTTGTCTGATAAAAAGGAAATATTTTATCACAACTCATCATTACTCACGGCCGATTGTTAGATACTCGTTGACATTCATATCATTTTTGGATGACTCAAACCGGGAAACAGTAATCTCACTAAATTGGCGGCTGGCAATGAACGTTCATCTGCACACGCAAGTTCGTCGGTATGATAGTGTAGCGGTAATTGTATCGATCGCGTCCGTACCTCTCCCTGTTCAGCAGTGTAATTCGTGTCAGTCATGGTGACAATGAAACTACTCGCTATCGGGCGAACACCTGGGGACACTGGCAGCTGTGCGGTGGCCCCGCCGGCGCTATCGTTTGTTTTCTACCTAGCTCGAATTTAGAGTGCTCTCCCGTCTGTGTTTGTTCACATGTACGCGAGCTGATGGGAGATGGGGTAATGTAACGCCTTGGGACAGCCCCGGGGCTCGGGCAACTGCTGTAGACCCTCACGGCCGATAGATTTGGCCGCTTGTTTGCTAGTTTGGCAGCCTAGCTCGCTGGTTCATTGTAGGAAGCCGGCGTTTTTGCGTTGATGCGCACAAAAACTGCTGAGGCTGATTTCATCAGCGGCTGTCGGCGACGGCGGCTGGACGGAGCACGTCTGCAGAGGCGCGGTGATTACTGATTTGTGCTGTCCGGGCGGCCGATACGGTCCGTTCCCACAGTCTCACAGTTCCCACAGTCACCGGCTGGCGACACTGACACTGACCCGTGGGCGGCGCTCCTGTGTCACCTCTGTGGGACTGTGGAACCTGGACCTGGAGGCCTCTGGGTCCACATCTGACGGGACTGTGGGACTGTGGGCTCAACTCTGACGGCCGTGGGACCGGAAGGACCGTCAGGTCAGGTGGTGGCGGGGCGGCCTACCGGCGTGGCGGGATGTTTCGGCGTATTCACGTTTCCGCTCACATGACCAGGAAACGCAGGGATCCACGCAGTTCCTTCATGCGAAACATGAAAAGTTTCGCCGTGTTCGACTGTTCCGATTTCTGGGTAATTACGGATAAATATGTATGAATGCTCTCAGTCTGGGTTTGTAGTTTCATTCGAACCGGCTGGTATCGCAACATGGGAGCATTAATGCGCTACATGTCAGCTCGTTACTGCGTCCGGGTGTGTTTGACCGTCAGCTGCGCCTGTTGCGGTCTGGCGTACTACGTCGCGCCATTGCGGCATCATGACACTCCCCGGCCATTGTCATACGGTGTTTTTCCGTCCCGTGACCGTCGTGCAGTCGTGTTCTACCGCTGATTTGCAGTAATGACTCATACACGCAACGTTGACTGCTCTGTGTTTTAGCCTTGTGGATAGTGTGAAGTGCTGTACTCAAACCCTGCGACTGTGACTTTGTGATACAGCTTTTTGGCCAATGTTTGAGTGTCTGATGTGCGCTGTGTGTTCCAGCCATCTAACATACCTTTCTGTTTCAGCCGCCTGGAATCTCTGGGCGCTATGGCCCACAAGGTTCGGGTGCAGGCCAACGATGACGTGTACGAGACCACCCGACAACGAATGGCCGAGGTGGAGGAGGCCAGCATGAAGAACTGGTACGTAGAAACGGTGGTGGTCGCTCTGCTGTGACATTACATACATGACCGGAACTGGTGGGCGCCTGGGGCGGTTGATATCATTGCTCGTCTGGTTGTCTGGGGATGCTACAGGCAACATAGGATTAGTGTTATGAGGTAACTAGGCAAACAGTTATTAAACCGCTGGCGTTATTTGGGTTGTTCGGCGATCAGGGTAACGTTTTGTATCAGGAAATGTGTTTCATCAGCTAGCTCGCCATCCATTTGTAACGGTGATTGGATATGGCGTGTTTCGTAAAATTGGGCAAGTAACCAATTTTGGCTCGTTGCGGCAAAGTGAGGGGGAGGGGCGGTAAACGGCTGCAAATAGATCAACGGTCGGTCTTGGTGGCTTCGCTGAACGATCCGTTGTGGGTGGTGTCGGGCCCAATTCGGGGAGACGCCGTTCCGTCGCCCGCGGGGGCGGGGCAGGGGCGGGGGCGACGATCAGCTGATGCGCCCACCCTCGCCAAGAACCGGGCTGGGATAGCGGGGCGAAACAGAGCGGCCAGACGGCTGTCGACCACGCCGCCGGCCAGAAATGCGGCGCCGGTGGCGACGCGACGCTGGAATGGAATCCAGCCGCAGGAATCCGTGGCTCCAGTGTGTGGGCGACGATGGCTTTACTTGGTCTGGTACATGGGGAACTGATAGTAGCTGGGAATAAATAGTAGCTCGCTGGGAAGACGGTCAGCCCTAACCCGCTGCATCGCGCCGCTTCCTTTGAGCGAAGGGTGACCGAATTACTGCTCGCTGCGAGCAGACGGAATATGCATACTGCGTAGTTGCCAGCGGGCTCCTCGTCTCGTTCGTACGCAGGTCGCGCGCCGTCGCGTTCGCCGCTGGCAAAAACACGCCGGCACCGTTCACCAGACGGCGGCGCGTCGGCTCGGCTCACGGCCCCGCTCGCTGCCTCATTGGGTGCCTCATTGGGTGCCTCGTCGGCTTGTTGATGGGCTAGTTCGCTCCCACTGGCTCCTTATCGTTGATTACCTCCGAGCCGACTGTTGTGTTGGTTCTATCTCGGGCGGGGGCGGCGCCCGGCGGCGGTCCGGGGTGACCTGTTGCCTTCACAGCCGCCTCCGCCGCCGCCGGCAGGCAGCATGGTTGGTATTGATCGTCTGGGGATAACTGGTGGGCTGAGGGCGACACCCAGCCCACCCACCTGGGCCTCGGCGCGGCCGCCCCCGCCCCCGCCCCCGCCCCCGCCTCTGCCGTAGCCGACGCCAGAGCCACCGCCCCCGCCCCGCTTCCGCTCCTGATACCACTCTTATCTTCAGCGTTTGGGATACGCGATTAACTGCGTTTTCTGTCCCTAAATAGGCATTCTTTGAAAATCCGTTCGGGAATCGGGGTGATCCTAGCGTTCTTACTGTTTTCCTCGAAGTACCATTGGTGCATTACAATCAGGTGCTCTATTGGATGGGACTTTCTCCGTCCGGCTGGGGGCTGCAGATGCGACACTATCACTCAGGCGGGCACGGGTGAATGTTTGTCTGGGGACTGGGAGACCGATGGGGAAAGGTCCGGGAACGCGGCCGATCCATCTCGCCTTCCGTCGTCGGCGGCGAGCGGCGTCGCGGCCGACGGGGGCGGATCGACCCGGGCGCGCCGGCGGCGGCGGCGGTGAGCAGACGCTTATGGACGGAGCGCGATCGAGAGGAGACGGTCTGGGGCGTGGCGGGAGCGGACAGATTGGTGAGCATCCTGTCTGGGAGTGGCGTCATGCGGAATGATGGTATTAGTCTGACAATGGAAACTCTGACTCAGTGGTATGATGGTAGCGGCCGAGATTGTTGTAATAACTCACGGCGGATAAACGGAAACCTTGGCGACGTCATGAGACGTACTACGTGAGGCCTGTCACAACCATTGCAGTAGTGTTATGTGATGACGACATGACATACGCAGTCATCCACTGCGCCCCATTCCGTTTTATGTCCTTGGGAAGGAGTTCTCTCTCTCGGCGCGATCGGGACCGCGTCTGGCCAGTCCGCCGGGCCCCTCGGTGGTCAGTCCGGCCCGGCTGCGGCCCGGTCCGGTTGTTTACTGCGATAGGAGCAGGTATCGGCCGACTGATCGGCTGTCCAGCGACTGCCTGGCCTTGTGGTCGGCTTGCCGAGCCGGCCCCGTTACACGGGCCGCCGCTGCTCAGCGCTGAGCCCGTCACTGACTGTCGTGTCGTGCCGTAATTGCGCTGCAGGCTGGCGGACTGACAGCTCTGAGCTGGCGATAGCCTGTATGGGCTGTGGAGAGATCTGATCGTTACCTGCCTCATTGAGAGGAGAGGGTTCTGATGATGGCTAACATCAACATATACCGCGGCGCAGTGGTGTTTGTTGTTAGCGTCATCGCCGTGCGCTGTTACACGCGCAGTGTTCGGTCGCGATCGGACAAAAACGCCGTAAACGTTTTGTTGTTTAGCCCATTTAGCCACTGATGGGGAGAACAAAAGTGCGGCGCCGCACAGTGCGCCGGTAGAGCAGGCGGATCTGGTCGACCGCCGCGGCGCCACCACGTCCGTCCGGTCCGAAATGTCAGTGACGGAGGGACGCCGGTGGCATTTGAGCTGTGATTGACCGCTCGAGCGCACGTCAAACTAAGTGGAAGACCACTGGGCCGCTGTGACGGCCACATCCCCGGTCGGCCGTCACCGGTCGTATTCCACCGACTGTCGGCGGGTCGGGGTAATTAATTATCAGTCGCTGCGACATATACCGGCACTGGCCTTGGCCCAGAACGGGCCGCGTTTCCACCGTGTGTCTCTCTGTGTGTGTCGGGCGAGCTCGACGCAGGCCGCCCCGCCCGCACCCACCCACTCTCCTAGCGGGGGTCCCAGCGGGATGGGTGGGGGGCGGCTGCGGATGGGACGGGTTACGCCCGACGAATAAACATCGTGCTCTAAGCGCGCTCGCGTGGAGCACAGAGATGCTTCAGGCCGACCTTGCACTGCTGTTGTTTGCGTCGGGGATGTGGAGCGTATGCATGCAAGTAGTGACGTGCGACGCAAGCTCGCCAGGTCGTCTTATCTTGAAGACGGGAAGAGCCACCGCATGCGGGGGTACGGATGGATACCACACGGGCTTTCCCTTGTGTGGTCAGCTCTGTTCTTTATAATGCTGCCGACGTAAATTGGACGTCAGGAAATCTGGTTATGACCGAGAAAAGCTGGAAAGAGTAGCCTGCCACGGGTTCTGTGTAATGATGCAGATCTCTAGTGTTTCATAGTGTTGGTCCAGACCCAGACTGCTGGAAGTGTCAATGGAAGTCTAAGGTGGACCAGATGACTGGTATCTCTTGAAGTTTGTTTTGCTTTGCAGTTTGCATTTGTTGGGAATATCGCTGAGGAACTCCAGTAGCCCTACACAAATGTTTTGCTACGATATCTGTGGATGTCTGTGTTTGACATATCGACGGTTTTCATTTGCAATCGTTGCGTCTATCACAGTGTTCTGGTTTTGACCCTGGTTTCCTCTGTTTGGCAGCACGCGGATGATCAAACAGGGTGACCCGTTCATCGGCCGCCGGGTGAAGGTGAAGGCGGGGCCCGGTCGGCCGGTGGCGCCGGCCGGCCGTCGGCCCGACCCGCTGCCGCACCGGTCACCTACCATGCAGCCGCGCCAGCCGCCGGCCTCCGCGCCGCCGCCGCCGTCCGCTCCGGGCCGGCCCGCGGCCCTCTCCGGTCGGCCCGGAGCGCCCGCCGGCCGGCCCGCCCCGGGCACTGCGCCCGGACGGCCCGCCACCGCCTCTGCCGGCGGCGGCGGCGGCGGGCCCGCCTCCTCCGACGTGATGCGCCGTCCTCTCAAGTGAGCAGCCGTGCCGCCGCGCGCGAAAAGCCTCCTCCTCAGTGTGTGGGTCCCCCGCTCCTGTCTCCTGACGTCTACTGCTGACTGGCCCCCCACTCTCCTGCTGTCTGTTACTAACTGATATCGGTCGGACCTTGCCCGCTGAGCTCCCGGCCCGTCCGTCTCGACCCATCGCCTCTTATCCTCACCCCAGAGCGCCTATCTCCGGCCATCGGATGTTGTGTGGACTCCCCCTTCCTATCACGCCCCTGACTGGTGTCTTGGCCCGACCTATCAACCCCCGCCTCTGTCTGATCAGCAAACATCGCCCACCGTGCCGGCTGTCCGGTAAACAGACTGTGCTGCCCAGTCAACAGGCGGTATTGTTTGGTGGTACTGGGAGCGGTCAGCGTCCCTCGTCTCTCAGTCTCAGATCAGTCCATTGTCTCAGTTTAGTTCATCTTATTGTGTTTCAGTTGCATCCATCGCCCCCTCACTTCCCGTTTCTCGTCCCTCTCTTGCAATCCCATCGTTTGTCATGATGTAAGCTGTAACTTTCCCTGGTTGCACGATGCTGTGAAATACTTCACTGAAGAACGTAAATCTATCTTCATTTTTTCATGTTTCTCGTCTCGTTTCCAGCCCACCGTTTCTCCTCTTCACCTTTGTTTCATCTCTGCTCCCTCAGTCCCAGTCAAGGCCTCCTTCCACTGCAGTGGAACGTTCGTGGAGTATCTGTGGGTGCCCGTGGAGTGCTGTCCAGTGCGCTGACGCCGTGTGTGCGGGGTGCCCGTACGAGTCCGCCCTGTGCGGCAGTGTTTGTGACCTGGATCATGTCCGTGGGACGTCTGGACTGTCCTGGACTAGTCAGGGGCCCTCCGGGGTGGGACGGTTGTCCAGGAGACTGAGTGATGTGACTGGACGGGTGGACTATGCTGATGTAAGTATCAGCTGTCCAGGCTGTGGGCCGTGTTTTGAGTTGTGAAGCACGGGTATATGCGAATGAGAACATAACTTCGTTACGGATTAGGCATGTAATGCTTAGAAATGGAAAGTCAAATATTTATGTGAAGGTCCTAAGAGGTGCTTCAGGGGAGGCAAGTGTCGAGTTTTGCTGATACTGAGCCATTGAATGCATGGAGCTGACTGTTTCTGTGGCTTTGTTTCAGAGAGAGGCTCGCACATCTGTTGGCAACACGACCGCGCAAAAAGGTGGAAGTTATGCAAAAACTGTACAAAGGTGCGTATTTCTACGGCTATTGCCGGTTTGGTTCTATTTATTGTCAAGTCTTCATATCTTTTGTGCCGAAAATGTGTCTCAATACAGGGCAGGGGCGGATCCAAGGGGGGGGTCACATGGGTCATGGCCCCCCCCTTGAGGCCCGGGGGCCCAAAGACCTGCCAGGGGCACCACCGGCCTATCAGGGGTATCACAGTCCTGACAGGGGCACCACAGGACCGCCAGGGGCACCACAGGCCTAGCAGGGACACCACGGGCTTGGTGCCCCTGGGCCCTGACAGGACTGTAACGCCCCTGACAAGCCTGAAGTGTCCCCGGCAGGCACTTGGTGCCCCTGACAGGCCTGAGGCGCCCCTACAAGGCCGGTGGTGCCCCTGGCAGGCCTGTGGTGTCCATGGCAGGCCTGTGGTGCCCTTGCTAGGCCTCTGGTGCCCCTGACAGGCTTGTAATGCCCCTGGAAGGACTGTGGTGCCCCTGGGCCCTGACAAGCCTGAGGTGCCCCTGACAGGCCAGTGGTGCCCTTGCTAGGCCTGTGGTGCCCCTGGCAGGCCTCTGGTGCCCCTGACAGGCTTGCGGTGCCCTTGGAAGGACTGTGGTGTCCCTGGGCCCTGACAAGCCTGAGGTGCCCCTGACAGGCCCGTGGTGCCCTTGTTAGGCCTGTGGTGCCCCTGGCAGGCCTCTGGTGCCCTTGCTAGGCCGCTGGTGCCCCTGGCAGGCCTCTGGTGCCCCTGCGCCCGGAGAGGACTGGTGCCCCTGAAAAGTCTGAAGTGCCCCTCGGCAGGCCCGTGGTGCCCCTGACAGGCCCAAGGTGCCCCTGCAAGGCCGGTGGTGCCCCTGGCAGCCCTCTGGTGCCCCTGGCAGGTCTGTGGTGCCCCTGGCAGGTCTGTGGCGCCCCTGGCAGACCTGTGTTGACTGGTGCCCCTGCTAGGTCGCTGGTGCCCCTCACAGACCTGTGGTGCCCCTGGGCCTTGACAAGCCTGAGATGCCTGGCTATGACAGGCTCGTGGTGCCCCTGATAGACCAGTGGTGCCCCTGCTAGGCCGCTGGTGCCCCTCACAGGCCTGCGGTGTCCCTGGAAGGACTGTGGTGCCCCTGCCCCTAGGGGTGCTCATGGGCCCAACAGGCCCGTTGTGCCCCTGACAGGCCTGTAGTGTCCTTGCTAGGCCTGTGGTGCCCCTGCTTCCTGGCGAGCCTGTGGCGCCTCTACAAGGCCGTAGGTGCCCCTGACAGGTTTGTGGTGTCCCTGGAAGGACTTTGGTGCCCCTGACAAGCCTGAAGTGTCAAGGACAGACCCTTTAGACGCCAGTGTCAAGTTCGTCGGACTGACAACGATTCGCTTACCTGATAACGTTCCTGGTAAGTACTCACTACTCAGCGTCCACAACATATACATATACACATAGCACATTCATATATACTTGCTTACAATTGGTAAATGTGGTTGTGGCTAAGAGTTAAGATACTGACTAAAAATAAAAAATAAAAATAAAAAACTGAAAATGGGGGCACCACCAAAATGAAGTGGACGAAATCCGTTGAGTTTTTAATTTTGGGTATAGGTAGGGGCACCACTTCGATTCATGACCCTCCCCTTGGAGTTTTCCTGGATCCGCCCCTGATACAGGGTAGACGGAGCTACAGTTGTGGTAAATGATGTCACATGGCAGCAGCTCACCACATGTGGCGAATTATGCCATTCAGGTGCACGGGTGTTGTGTGACAGATTTATTTGTGAATCAAGTAGGTCTGTTATTGGGACTGGCGAGTTCTGGGAACTCGGCGATGGTGAAGCGTGGCAACGTGTTTCCTTTGTCCAAGCTGTGTTATTTGTACCTTAGGATGTCATTATTTGAAGACAGTGAGGCAGAGATGCCCTACGATAATCGATTGTGTCAAGAGATGGTGTGTTTTCTTGCGATAAAGACGTGCTTTGGCGCGGCTGTGCGTGGTATTGTATCGAATGCAGTATCAACGCAGATAACGCGCAATCTGTGGATGTTGTTGGAACTTTGGACGGTGGCGCAGCTCCTCTCTCACGTTGTTTCAAAAAGGTCACCCGGCCCTGACCTAGACGGTTTGAGTTGCATTTATCGAACAATATCTCAGTGCGTGTCGAGCAAAGGTGTGTGCCCTGACCGTCGTTAAGACATGGAAGTGCGATGCCATCTCGACTGCGGTGGGTGGAGTGGCGCACGTGCCGGCAGAGTGTTGAACCCTGTCCGCGGCACGGAACCCTTTCTGAGAACTGCCGCCTGCCGCCTGCTGCTGTGAACTGCCATCCATCTGCCAACCGCTCGCCACCCGGAGACCCAGCAGATTCTCCATCGCCGGCCCGCGGCGGTATAAACACTGACAGAATATGTCGACAGCGGTCGCCGACAGCACACCGGTCGCCATGGGCAACACGGCTGCATCTGTGGTAGAGTGTGGACCCTTGTCGACCGGTCACGGTGAACACGGGGCCAGAACGGCGCCGCAGGGATCGTGATAGACTTCGTGAGGGGCGGAGTTGGTGTGTCTATTGTCGATCATAGACGTTTGTACCGTCATTAAACCATGACTACGCTCGCGGAGGACGGCGCCGGCGCCTGAGGAGGGCACTGCTGCTGTGCTAGCCCCGGTGGCGGTCGGCAGTGACGGTCGGCGATTTCGGGGTAGTGGCGTGACTCGGTGGGTTTTACTGACCGCTGTCCGCGCCGTCCGTCCGCCGGTGACTCACGGCCGCAGCGAACTGTCGCCGAGAGGTGTTTTTGTTTCGGAGTGACGTGGTGACGTAACGCTGATGTGAAGTGATGTGATTTGGTGTCCACTGATGTGTGACGTGATGTGATTTGGACCGCAATGTCTCACGCGATCCATGATGTCGTTTTGAGCTCGTGATTTACTAACGTGCCTCGCTGAGACCCAAGAGAATGAAATATGATCTTGTCCACAGATGGCTGTATGTTGCGTCATCTTTTCCTCAGTCTGGACCCGATTGAGGGCCGAGAGCTGTGCGAGTTTGCAAATGTTTTCAGCTGACCTAGGCGTGATTCCGTTAGTAGAAAACCTAATCATCGTTCGTCGTATTTGTCTCGTCGTGCAGGCGCACCCATTCTAAGAAGCACCTTATCTGTCGCGTAGCTGACCGCATCGATTGTTCTCTGGGGGGCTTCCGTCAGCGCTTTTGATGTTTGTATTATGTCCTGGTGTCCTCATGTCCGCATGTTCGGTGGCCCAGTATCGTCGTGTCGTGCTGTAGCTTGCAGAAGCTACCCTTGCTGTTCACATGAAGGTCTACCGACCGCAAATCCCGCTTCAAGTACATGTCGGATTAAGTTACTAGATGGATGCGTCAGGAGAGTGACGGATGACTTTGTTTTCGTGTCATAACCTTCCGAAGCTAATGCCCGACAAGGCGATTGGCTGTTCAGGTGTAATCTCTAGTCCAGGCTTGAGTCCTGCCGACTTCATCAGCTCGCTATGAGTGATCACACCTTGGCCGCCCCGCCCGCTCTCCCTCCCTCCCTGCTCTGCCTCGATATGTACTCTGTGCGTGACCGCACCCCTCACTGACCCCTCTCCCTCTCTCTCTGCTCTCCCTCAGACGGTATCCGGGAGAAGGACAAGAAGAACGTGCACGGCCTGCTCGGCTCGGTGGCCACGCTACGCGACAACGTCTACTACCTGAAGCGGCATTGCTGGAACGACGTCTCGCAAGACTGGCCGTTCTACACGGAGCAGGAGCGGCGTGACTTCGCCGCCCACCGGCCCGAGAACCTGACGCCGCCCAGCAGCGACTCGAGCAGCGGACGGTCGCCGGCCGGGAAGCGCCCGTCACCGTCCGGTGCTGACCCTCCGGCCGGCTCGGCCGCTGCCGCCGCCGCCGCCAAGCGCCAGCGGGTGTCGCACTACAAGCGGCCTGGAGAGGCGGCCCCGGGACCGGGCAGGCCGCGAGCGGCGGACGCCGCTGGGTCCGAGCGGCGCAACACGGGCCCGCAGTACGACTGGAACAAGACGGCCGCCCAGTCGCCGAGCTCGACGGGTGTCAGCGACCGCACGCCGACACCCGACTCGTCTCCTGACAGCCGCCACTCGGGCTCGTCGGCGACGCGGGAGGAGGAGCCCGACTACGTCAGGTGAGACTCCGGGAGAGGTGTCGGGGCGCCCGGTGGGCAGCTGGCGAAAAGGAGATCTGCATTGGTCAGTGTTGGCGTAACTTGGGATTGAAATTTGTGAAGAAAGTGAAAATTTAAGGTTACGATGCAGGCGGTAGTTGTGAGATCCTCTGGGGCGACTATAAACTATGAACATTTCAGCACGAAAGTACTCGTGCCGTCCTGAATCAACTGTGGCCCTAGATCCATACACATTTGTGAGACAAGCGGGCCAAGCTCATCCTAGTGTGCACTTTGATAAGAACCCGATTCATGGCACATATTGCGATGCAATCAAAGCAGGCGGCTGGATGCCTACGCACGAACTTAATTCCATAGCCGTTTCAAACGCTGCTGCATCAAACAACTGTCAGCTGTTTGATGCAGCCTTGATGCCGTTTGAGCGGGATCAGGAGATGTAACTACCCGGAAACTAGTCGGAATGGAAGAGCCCCGGGCGGCCGGCATCGCCACGGCGCCCCTGACTAACCCTTAGATTGTGGACTGTAGTGGTCCCATGGACCGGAGCGGTTGAGTTCTCGCCACGCTGTCAACCCACCGCTCAACCCCTCATCCCTGCCTGTATTCGGGTACGCTCTTGCGCTTCCCCTTCCATCTGAGGCGTCTTGTCGTTAGCTTTCGTCCCACTCCACCGTACCGAAGTACACCATAGCGGGCGGTGCGGTGGCGGCGCGCAGCTCCACCCCCAACAGCCACGTCATAGCGACTCGAACAGGACTTATACGGGGCAAAGGCGAGGGAGAGAGTGACTGAGTGAGAGAAAACGTGACGGGAGGAGAGGGGAGTGAGTGAGGAGAGAGTGAACGGTGCGAGGCATGGGACTAACCGGCCAACCGGAATGGCAGCCATAATGGAAGAAGCTGGGAAAGAGTGAAACCTTGTGGACACTAGTAATTTCTTTGGTACAGCGACACCCACTCAACCCATGCTGTTCAGGAAGTGTCTCTTTAAATATGCCCTCTAGTCCCGGTTTGTCTGCACTGAACGGAACACTTGCCGTCGCTCGCCGCGCCGGGTCTGGTCATGTCTGGTTTGGTCTGGTCTGGTCGGAGCTTGTCGGGTGTACCCGGCTGCGCCGTTGCGCCACGGCGGCTCACCCGTTACCACACCGGGTAGGCCGCGCTACGGCTCCTGTGACCGATACTGTCTCCCGTCGTGACCGATGAGGTCAGACAGGTCACCAGGTCAACAGCGGCGGCGGCCAGGTCAGGATAGATGTTAGAAAGGTCAGGGCACGGCACCGCGGGAGAGTCCAATTCCTGAGAGATCAGAAAGGCCTTTAGCTCTTGGTATTACCTTTATGCGTCATGTGACGTTGAAACGAACCAGACGCGTACTTTTTGTAGCTACAGCAGGGAGTGCCACAGCTGAATCGACAACCGACGCAGAGAATGTCAACATTTGGAGCGCGACCTTTACAGCGCGCGGGTGGCGGCTGGCCGGTGCAAAATTGATCGGCCGCCCCTCCTGGGAGGGAGCCCATCTCCATTGGAGTTTTGCACCAGGCTACGGCCGGCGCTAGTGCCGCCCCCGCCCCCGCCCCCGCCCCGGCCCGGCCATGGCGCCGCGAAGTTGGTCGCTACTCGGCTGCAAACTTTTGGCGGTGCTGGGGACGATGTGCCCGTCACCGGCATGACTGGCGAATTTCAGAGCGGACGAAAATCGTGAACGTTTGCGCAGCGATGCGTTTGCGCCATGGCATCAAAGTGGCACCGCACATTCAAAAGGCAGGACTGTGTCGTTACTATGGATCAGAGCTGACTGGCGATATGATGAGAACACATTAGTAGATGGTCCCTGTTACCGGCTGCTTGTATAGAGTCGCTGATGCAATGCATATCGTGGGGTTTGCCTAACAGTTGCCAAATAAGTATGTCAGATAAGGATGCTATTCGCCTACACCGCCAAAGATGCCACAACTTTGCACTTTTAGTGCCATTTCTCATCATAGGCTTGACGTGCGCAAACAACCCCAAAATTATCAAACTAAAATATCGTGCCTACCTCTGAAGTTTCTGAGTAGGCTCTGCGGATATTTTTAGATTTGTTAATTCTAATGTTTATCTACATCATGTTTGCGTTATGATTTGAGGGCTGAGGAGCTTGACGTGATCCGATATCAGCTACCGCCGCCGCCTTTATAGCCTGACTCGCTCTTGTCTATTTCGTTTTGATGTCCTGTTGGGGCTGCGGTTTGAACAACGTGAAACTGCTCTGCCAGACTTGGGCCTGGGATGCAATATTTGTTGCAATGCTGCTACGCGTGTTAGCATAACTGTATAACACTCGACTCAGCCCATGAACACTCAGCCTATGATGCGAGTTTCCGCGAAACCTCTAATATTTTGACACGGAGCACAACCCTGGCCCGGGCTGGGGCCGCCCATTGCTGGCTGTGAGCGGGCGCAGCATTGAGCAACACCTGCCGGGCCACGGACTGGGTGTCCCTGTGACCGTCGACCGGCCCGGCCCGGACCGGATCGGCCGAGCCGCTATCGTCCAGCGCCGACCGTTCACCGGCCGAGCAGCTTAGAAGCCGAGCGGCCGCCCCCAGGTGCCATTAATTAGACGCACTTTGAGCCGGTCCGAAAGCGAGACTTTGAACCGGAGCGGCCAGTCTGAATTGTCGGCGAACTGACTACAAATGGAAGTCAACGCCCCGGGCGGCGATCGGCCCGCTCCGGGCTCGCTCCGGCTCGGGAGGCTCCGGAATGGCCCGGAGAAGCCCGGAGGCGGGCCGGACCGACTCCGGAGGGTGGGGTCCATCCCATCCGGACGGACCACTTTGCGGATTTGGCCGCAGCTGAGATGTGGAGCCAGCCGCGCCTGTTTCGTGTCGGGAGTAAATGGCGGCGATTGCGAGGCTCGCCTGTCAGAGAAGTTGTCGGGAGTTGGGCGCTTTGTTGGAACTGCCTGATGGCCGGGCCGAGCGAGCCGGGCTTTTGTTTGAGGTAGGACGGATTTGTGTGAGAAGTGGCTGCGTGATCGGGTGCGGCGGGATCAAGGGTCCTGCTCTGCAGAACTTAGCTGTTATCTCAACGAGCTACGGCTGAGGTTCCTGGAATTGTTATTGCTTGGTTGCGTTTGCCAATAGGGAGAACTTGGTTTAATTGGCCTCGGTGTGTGAAAAGTACTTTAACGATGTAACTGATTCCAGGTATCCATCTGTTTGTGTCGCTTAATTGCAGCCTTGCAGACCGCTTACTGAATCGCCCACTTTTTGTGTTGCTCCCTCTACCTACTGAGCCTGAATCTAAGGGAAAACTGTCACCCGTGGGACTCGAACCAGCGCCTGTCACTCTCACTAACTAACTCGTATATCTTCTTTCCGGCAGTCAATACGTTCCAATCACGTCCGAGCAGCAACTGCAGCGGTACAAGGCCGACTTCGAGGCGGGCTACGCCGAGTACCAGCGGCTCTGGGAGCTGGTGGGTACTGTGTACCGCAAGTTTGCCGACCTGGAGCAGCAGCTGAGAGCCGCCGAGGAGGGCTCCGAACAGTGGAGGGTAAGAGAGCGAGAGGGATACGGAGACGGGAGGGGTAGAGGGCGGGACAGAGAGGGCTGGGTAGCAATAACCGCCTCAGATGGCTGCTAAGTATGGTGAGGTGGCTAGAACAGGACACGTCCATATGAAAATCACATTTCGTTATTTGCGTGAGAGGGCCAGGTTTCTAAAATTCATCAGGCTCAGCTTGTGGTAACTCATCATCACGTCGGGTGTGCCTGGTCGGTTATGTAACACGCCGCATGGCTACACGACATTATGCGAGGCTGGCAGCGGGTGTCTGGGATGACGTGATCCACCCGTCTCTGTGTCGCTGGTTCGGGGAGCGAGTGACGCCGCTGCCGACCGGAAATCCGCGCCCGGCGAAAGCCGAATCCAACCGTCCCGTCCCCGCCATGTGCCGTGGAATTATGTAGCGACACGGTTCAATGGATGATACGGAAACGATTAGTTGTGGGGTGGTCGGTGATGTGTCGCGGGCTTAGAATGTCAGTTTTCGTATGATAGAAGTCCTGTATCTGTTGTGCTTATGGTGCACCCGGTCCCTGTCTGTCATGTTTGAATGTTTTACCGATTCTTAGCACTGAGTAGTTTTATATTTCGAATCTAATTTAACCGCCCGGCTGCAAAGTTCAGTGCATGTGTACTGTATAAATAATCCAGTCTGGCAGACGGTGGCACGTTGCCTGTTTGATTTTACACGTGCCGCGTTCTTGAGCGTGCCCCCGAGTGGTGTGGGCGGGCCGGGCCGGGCCGGGCCGGGCTGTCTGCTCGCCTTTTTCAGTGAGCTGTTTGTACAGTGTGGCTGTGGCCACCATCTGTTGTTCCTGGAACACCCGCCACTCACGGATGACTCTGTCGCCGGCGCGCGAGAAAGTGTTTTAGCCGACAACTGTGGCCCCCGGCTCTCTCCATCCGTCTGTCTGTCCGTCTGTCTGTCCGTCTGTCTGTCTGTCTGCTGACAAATTGGAAACACTAGCGGTGTTGTGAGGGTTAAAGAAGGAAGGGGGTAACGGGACGTGTCATTTTTCACCAAGTGGGCCTTGTATTGACCGTGTTTTCATCTCTTGAGCTGGACCGGCCAAACCTAAGCTTTAAGCTCCCTGATTGCCTTGTGCTGTTAGAAGGCGTGATTTGAATACACTGCCAACGTTAGCTGGGTTTGTGGGTCAATAGGTCGCAACACATGCTCCACCAGCTGTGAACATTTACCGCTTCACTGATTCTAGGGGACTGTCGTGTTCCTTCAGTAGCTCTTCGTTTCTAAAGCATCTTTGTGTTTAGTTGAACAGCTCTTAAGAGGTCCGTTTCTCCTCTGTCCACTGTCTGACTATGTCTTGTTCAGTGACTGCTAAGACTGGGCAATTCCCTTTCCTCTCACACCCCTCTATGGACGCGCTGAGTAAAGGCCCGGAACGGGGAGAGATGTGCTTTCCATAAGGGGCGCTACTTTCGCGGCCGGCTGGCCACCGGTCGAGTCGGTGGTCCGTGTCGGGTCGCTCTGCTCCCGTGAAGTGACCAGCATCTGGCGAGGCCTGGTTAACAGGAGAGTTTCTGATAGCCAGTGTCTGTGTCCGGGTTAATGGGTCTGATGTGTCGGAATCAGTCCACGGCAGATGCTGCTGGTGATGGTACAGACTGCCGGTCCGCCGCGCGGCCCCGGTCCCCGGTCCCCAGTGGCTCCCGTTAGTCTGCTGTGTGACCGTGAAAACTGCAGCCACCGTGAAGAGCCACCGTGCAGTGTCCTGCCACCCCCTCTCCCCCTCACTGACCGCCCCCTCCCCTCTGATCCCCAGGGCATCGAGCGCGCCATTCGCGACGAGTACGAGGCGTGCAACAACGAGGAATACAAGGCGGCTCGCCGGCGCTGGTTCTACCTACAGAACAAGCTGCAGTACGTCAAGGCACTGGTGCGGCGATGGCAGGCAGAACGGTAGTGGGCCGCGCGCGCGCACGAGCACCCCTCGCTCTGTGCCGCCGCCAACGCTGTGTGTACATAGACAGATGCAGCTTTATCGAAATAGCCCGGTTGAACGGCGCTGCGGGCGCGCCAGGCCGCGGGCGCGGCGCGGCGGCCGGCGCTCGGGTGGCCGGCCGCGCCGCCGGCGTCCCGCGGCCGGCCGCCGTATTTATATCGGAGGATGATGCCACACCACTGAAGATCTTAGCGGCCGATCTGCGCAGGCCGGGCCAGCGGCCACCGCACGCGGCCGGCCGCGCCGCGCCGCGAGTTCCTAGGCGCGCCCGGCCGGACGCACCGACCCGACGACCCGCACCGACTGACCGCGCCGTGACGCGCGCGACGGACGCGACGCCCGCTCAGGGCCGACGGACGAGTGACGGTGGGCAGACCGTCGACTGGACGCTGAGACGCTTCTGACGGGCGGCGGCGGGCCGCGCGCCGCCGCGCCGCCCCCCGTCTCCCTGTCCGTCTGTATGTGTGTCTGTGTCCGTGTGTGTGAGGTGTGCGGAGCGGGTGTGTCCGGGGCCGCGCCTCCCTCCCGTCTGATCGTCCGAGCTTTCACCTGTTGTCGCACGGCCGGGCCAAATCAAAACCGGGCGCTGGCGGCGGCGGGCGGCGGAGGGCTGCAGCCCCCGCCCCCACCCCCGCCGCCGCCCGGGCCTGCCGCTCGGGACTCCGCCAACGCGGGCTGTTTGCGTAGCCTCTTACGGGTGTTACTTGTGTATGGTTTGCTCAATGGCCGGGCCGACGGGTCCGGTGGCCGGGAGGCGGGCCGCCGCTCGGCACCGATCCCTGTCCAGTGCCTAGTCTGTCTAGTCTGGTGGCCGGCCCGCAGTCTGTCCCAGTCGGGTGCCAGACCGGTGGAGCGGGACCGGCTGTCCCCCGGGAGTGACCGTCCCGAGTCCGCGCGGCCCCTCTGACCGACCGGGGCTGCCCTGGGTGTCCGGGGACGGGACGGGATGGGAGAGAGAGTGGCGGAGCGGGTAGAGGGCCCCCGGGTGATTGAGCGGGCGGCGGGCTGCCGGCGCCTACTGGTTGTGACCCATCCGATTCCTCTATGTGACGACCTAAATATGATATCTGCCTGTTGTTTTTATATCAATAAACATGCATACTCGTTTGTGTTGTTTGGGCGGTGATGGGGCCGCTGTGTCTGTCAGTGTTTGTGTGTCTGTGCGTGTGCCGCCCATCCCGTCCCCTCCCCTCCCGTCCCTTATCGTCCCCCGAGCCCCGTCCCCCTCATGTCCCGTGCTTCCGCGGTGGAGGAATCTCCTCTTCAGGTCGTCTCGGCGGCCGACCTTTCAACGAAAAGTACAAAATCCTGGCGCCGCTCCGCCCGCATGACGCCTTTCTCAGCTGGCCTGCACTGACTGACGCGCGCGCTGACCTCGAACGTGACGTGGACGTGGACGTGGACGAGACGTGGACAGGACGTGACGGACGTGATGCAGAGCTCCGGGCCGGGCGAGGGCTCGCGGCCGCGCGGCCGCCGCCCCCATTGTGATACCCCTAACGACCTTCCGCCGGATACAGACCAGAAGCGCTCGCCACTCGTCCCTGTAGATATGTCTTATGCTCTGTCCGCGCCGTCGTCGTCGCGTCTTCACGTCTATCCGGTGGCCAAATGGAAAAGCCAATGTGAGTGACACACAGGAGGGTAGAGTAATTTATCGGAGCAGTGGCGACCGGTACGTGGCGGCGCCGTATCTCACAAAACATGATAAAAACAGTCGTGTCTGTCGGTCTCCTGAGGCGTCCGTTCGGGAATTGCGGTGACCTGTTTGTGTGCGTGTGTGTGTGCGCGTGTGCGCGGGGAATTCCAGTGCGCCGGCGCGCCGGCCGGGCGGCCGCCGTCGGCGCGCGAGCGCCACTCTTCCCGTCCCCCGTTCAGTGCCATGACGTGTGTGAGGTGCGTGCGGCGGGCCGCGCCCGAGCCGAGAACGGCCGGCGGGCCGCCAGCAGAGGGAGGAGCGCGAGAGAGCGCGAGAGCTGGATGGAGCAGCGCTGCCGAGTCGCAGCCACTTGAATTGTCTTTCTGCGGACCGCTAGTCCGCCCGTCTCAATGCGGCCCGATTCCGGCACAACCAAATCTCTGAGCGTCCATTGTTGATACCGCTCCGTATTCGTTGGAGAGTCTGTGGGATTGGCTGCCCTCTGCCCAGCGGCGGGCGCTGGTAACCGAAGTTGATTTTCTCGTTGAGAGATGGCGCTGCACTCAGTTTTGCCTGGCGGCTGCCCGGCTGGCCGCTCCCCCACGGCGAGCAGGGATGACACGGCGTCGGAGGTATCCCGCGTGTGATGCAAACATTCGACAAAATAAAACTGTATTGCATGCAACCGGCTTTGGGGGATGAACCGGGCGCTATCGCTGTAATGTGCGAATGATGGGATGGTTGGCAAGTAAGAGCTGTCGTTTTTTCTAAGAGCGCGCTGAAGTGATAGGCATGCTAGATGGTGGTCCAAGGTCTTAGTTCTTCAGTCGATCACCACCGTTCGCAATTCAGTGCGGCTTCTATACACTATGCACTATGCAGTCACATATTGCACTGGGTTGTCACTACCTTGTCTCCAGCTGCTGAAAATGAGTCCTAAATGTAGCTGCTTGAGTGCTGAGGCTGACGCTGTCAACTACCTGGACGATAGGCCCAGAGGCCAGAGGCCAGATCGTCGAGTTGATATAAGATACCAAGCTGTGATAATCATGACCGGTAAGGCTCTGGTTTTCCCCATGAGCTTTCCAACTCATTGAAACTTGAAAGCCACTGGGGATTTTGTCGTTCAACTGCAGAGCACCAGTGCACTTTTTCTGGCTTCGATCCTCTCCCATCTCGATATCCTTTGACTCCAGGCCGTCGATAAAGACACGTCATTAGTAGATGCGATTTATAAGCATTTCTACCCATTCAACAGTTCGAACGCACGACTCGAAAAATAACATCGAACCGGTACACAGTAAGTATGGCACAATGTCTTGACAGCGAGGGCTAGCATCCGACCGGTCAGCGCCCTGCCCTGCGCACCAGCCCTGGCCAGGCCATCACAATACACACAACCGGCGCGACACAACACGGTACTCCTCTCAACAACAGCGTCCCCCGACCTCTCAGCTGGCGCCCATTCGAAGCGCCGCCGTTGGCTGGAAGACCTACACTGGCGAAGCGGCAGGAATAAAGCGGATGAGCGCCGCCTGGCGGAGAGACGGTGCTGCCACCACGCGGTCCGCGAGCCAACTATCCTGTATGTACACAAACACTGAAAAGCTCGCACGACGTGCGGCCCCTCGGCGGGATACACATTAATGAGACTGAGGAGGCGGCCCGCGCGGTTCGGACACCGCGTCATAACATAAATAAGGTAATAATAGTCCATTGGTATCACGAGAGCGGGCCAGGCCGCCGACAAGAGAGGTCCTCGGCCGCAGAGGACCAGCTGCCCTAGTCACGCACTTTCACACGCTCCCACACGAGTCCGCGGCTCACGGCTGCCACGCTGTCGTTCCCACCGGGAAGAGGGCCGACGCCGACCCGCCCGCCACTGCCGAGCGTCAGCCGCCGCCGTGCGCCAACAGCGGCGTCAGCAGCGGCGCCACGAGCGGCGCCAGCGCCGGCGGCGGCGGGCCGGCTGAGATCAGGCAGGCCGCGCCCGAGAGGGGCGCCGCGCCGTCGGCTAGTTCCCCGTCCGGCCGACAGGTGGCAGCCGCGTCTCAACCGACGTCCAAACACGTGCGGCAACAGTCGCTGCGGATGTCCTGCATTGAGCAGAGCGACAGCCGCCGGGCGCGCGAGCAGAAGTTCTTGCGGTCTCGACAGCCACTCCCTGCCAACAGAACGGGTGTCAGTGGTGATCGAAGGGTCGGCTCGGTCACCGGACACGAACAGGTCAACAGCTAAATCGGTCAAAGCGGCTCAACTGCTTGGAGGTGCGCAGTAAGAAGTGATGCCATTGCGAAATGGTCGACGCCAAACTAACTACATACGACAAAACGAAGTTGTAAGAATGAATCACGTAGCTACTTCATATCAAACAAATGTGCCCGACCAGCCTCAAAGTAGCCAGTGCAGCGAATGTATCAGTTTTGCTCCTACTTTCATAAGAGCTCAGTGCTCACTCAGAAAGATGAACAAAACATTGAAAGACGTCTCATGTCCGGCACTACGAAATCCCCACGCTGACCATGCTGTATCCCTCACTCTTTTCGGCAAAAGATCCAAATAAAATCACGTACCATCATCGCGTTCATCATGCGCTATGCTGCCAGAAGGGTCCCTGGGAGACTCCTGCACTGGAAAAACAACACACGGCAAACATTCAGCGGGTGCCAGGCGGGCTCGGCGGCAGCGGGCGGGAGGACAACAGGCGTGCGGAGTAGCTCAGGGTACACCCACATCGCCAGACACGTAGCCAGAACTCTACCGGAGAGCGAGGAGGAAAACAAATTTCGAGAGACGAGACTACTGAGTTCGTAGCATAATTTTCTTAAAGCGTTACATCAACGTTCATACAAAAGTCTTAATGATTTTCAAGTATTGCGCTTTACACAATCAACCCAACCCCAATGAGGTCAGAACGGTGCAAGCCAACATTTTAGTGTTCGGGGGCGGGGCTATCCTGGCTACGTCCCTAGCACTCACATGAATGAGTGGCTACAGATGACGCCGAGGGTTAAAGGCGAGAGCGTCAGGAGGGCAGAGAGAGCGCCGAGGCGACGGGAGGGCGAGGCAGAGTGAGCTACTGTGAGACAGAGGTGAGCGTGCCCAGTGAGAGGGTGAGACGACCGGTGCAGGGTGTCATGCCACACGAGCTAACAAGTAACAACACACGAATTCTGGTGCTTGTTGAGTGTTGGCTCCGAGGACAAAACAGACTGCACACCCGGTCCAAACGCTGGATAATGACAAGACAAATGCAGACAACCCCGACAGAAAATTAGGCACAATACGTGGAACACCAACGAACAACCCTGTTCACCACGGCCCAACACATGTGCAGAGGACAAAACTACACACATCGAACCCAACCAAGCACACCACACAGAAATTTACCCACCAACCCAATCACCTCCCTCCCCCGCACCACCTCCATACTCACACGGGGGGCAAGTAGGGCCGACACACGGCTTGTAGACCAGCGGTCGGGGCTGGTCGCGGCACGTGTTGCCCGCCGGTTTATTGGTGCCGGACCACACGCAGCGCAGAATGCGGGTCTGGTAACCGGCCGATCCGCAGCGCGCGGAACACTTGGACCACGGCTCGACGCGCCACACGCCGCGACACCGGTCGTTGTAGCACTCCTGGCGGCCGTCGGGCCGCTGGCGACGGTCGCACAGTCGCGGGTGGACCGTCGTACCGTTCGGGAGACGGCAGCTGATCTTCCGTCTCTGCATCGCTGTGGACGAGATGGAAAGGAGGAGGTGTGAGTTCGTATTTGGCGAAACAGTTAGCATATCGGAAGATGCAAGATCAAGTGACGATTCACTAGTGAGCTACTTATCCAATAAGTAATAAGCAATGCAAGCCACCGTCGCAGAAAGTTCGAAACAAACATAATTTTTGTGGCTGGGGAAGGCCAGGGACTGAACAATATGCTGGACGCGATTAATTACACTCCACTTCAATATGCTACCTATAGGCTATAAGAGCTCATTTTCTGCCCCAATCCTTCCCCCGCCCTGGTGTCCCCGGACAAGCCTCTCGCCACTCCCGAGTCACCTCTTTCCTCCCATCCCTCCCTCACCATAGTTCCACTGGACGCAGCGCGATCGGCGGCACGACCTCCACTCGCCGACATGCCAGCTGGGACAGGGCATCTGGCCGCATGGCCGCACCGAGCGCGGGCTGGGCAGACCTTTGTCCTCGCAGAGCGCGGCCGACACGGTACGAGTCGTGTTGTTCAGCTTGACCAGGCACTGGGTGGCCCGCAGCTCGTAGCCGCTACCGCCGCAGGTTCGAGAGCACGGAGACCAGTCGGTGATGAGCCACTCGAAACGCACCTCGGACGGGTCGCCTGACGGAGAGAGCATGGGGAGTCAGTTTGAGACCTCGAGACCTCAGAGATCTCAGAGAGGTTGAGGTCAGGTGAACTGGCGTGGCAAAGTGCCTCCTCCTTAGATGTCGGGGTTTTGACGTGATAAAATTTGATGCAGAGGTGCAATCTATCGATTCGAGTTAGATAGCAAATAAACTTAAGGTACTAGACATGTATCCCATAAATGAAATGAATAGACCTGAATATAACATCGTTTTATAGATATACAAGGTCAAGTGAACCACCTTTTCATTATACAACCGCTCCTTTTCATCGATCAACGACAGTCTCGCATCAGGCATCATAGCAGGTTATCTCTATCAGCAGCCCGAGCGCAGCCTCACCTTTACCGAGGACCTCGATCACCCCCTCGTCCAGGCCGTGCGAGGAATCTGTCGCCTCCCCGGTCCCACCCGTGCCCTCCGGTCCTTCCGCCATGGGCGCCGGGGCGGCGACCACAGCGCCATCTGTACTGTCCTGCTCCCGCACGGTGGCAGCACCGTCGCCTTCGGTGTCGGCGGGGGCGTCAGAGACTGTGTCGAAAGCGGCGGATGAGGAGGCCCCAGCGGTGGTGGTGGTGGTGCTTTGCGTGGTGCCAGGAGTGGTGCTCGTGGTGGTGGTCGATTTTCTGCTCCAGCGTGAGCGCTGTCGGCTCCTGCCGCTGCCCAGCACCAGACCCTGAAACAGCACAGTGCGAAAGTTAGTTGGCACAGCAGGCAGAGGTCGAATTATGACGCTAAGTGGTAGCTGCCGAGAGTTGTCACGATGTCACTGACGTATAGCAGTTTTGGAAGAAAGTCAGAGATGCAGCTATCAGTCAGTCAGGTCCCGGTGAATGAGTTCCAGACAAGTGCACAATGAGTACACACACTTCTTAGTCTGATTTCGGGCCTAGCACTCACTTCATATGCGCACCGAACGTTTTTGTTCGATTGAGTAGTTTCTGAGGTGATACGGATGAGATAACACATAGGTTCGATCGTAAAACGAGCAAGAAATCACCCACTTAACACGCAAAATAAAAGTTGCACAATGCAGAACACAATGAAGTCGACTTCGGAATCCATAAATCCATGCAACACCGATATAAAATGTGAACAAGTATAAAAGTAAATGAAAATATTGCATAATGCACATGCCTGAGCCTCTATTAAATGCTGGGATAGAATATATTTATATGAAACAACAGACGCATGAATGCCACCATTCCGTTTTTAGTACACCGACACCGTATAAAGGGAAGAAGAATAAGCAATATATCCAGATAGCAGATGAGCGTGATACGAACGTGATATCTAATGGATGAAAATACGTCGCTCCTTGGCGGTATGCTTTGCTTCCTATTACTTGATTGGGAAAAACTTGAATTCTACGAAAATTGCACCTTTCTGAATGCCCGTCTTGTAATCACACAGCCGAGGCGCTGGCTGGAGGCGGGGTCTGCAAACTAGTTGGGACTACAGCAATCGTGCGTGACCGGGGTGCTTAACACGCCTCCTTTATCGTCTTCTAGTGCTTTCCTCTGCCACTGGAGTCTGTTGGATCCTTGTGGCAAACGTAAGGGTGGGTGCTGGTTGTGAGAAGGGCAGGGTGCCGCATTGGGCAGGGCAGGGCAGGGCAGGGCAGGGCAGGGCAGGGCAGGGCAAGGCAGGGCAGGGTAGACAATCATGCTGGAAACCAGATCCGGTGACGATGACGCTCCAAACCGGGCCCATCCTCTGCCAGCCAGCTCCAGTGAAGCCAACTCACTCCAGCTCACAGGGAAGGGTAGGGACAGCTGGAACACACAAACTACCTCCAGCAAATCATTTCAGTCCGGTTCAGCAGCCAGGCCGAGCGGGTGCGATCAGGCCATTCGGGTGCGCGCGCGCCAGGCCAGGCCAGGGTACACAGACAGCGGGCTCGCCGGGCAGCCGACCCACCTGAAGACCCGAGACCAGCCGCTGAAAGTGCGGCTCGACCCGGCCGGCCGACGACCGGACCTGACCCGCCTTAAGCTCAAGGTCGCGGACGGCCGTCCCTTCACGCTGCACGGGGTATGGGGGATGGATGATGAGAGGTCCGAACAACCAGAGGAACCGAACACTGCTGTTTGGTTCAATGTGGCTGACGTCGCATGACAATTTTAGTAATTGAAATAAAACACGGCATCAGGACCAGAATTCAGTTCAGCTCAGTGAAACTAAAGGCGCGATCAAAGGTCATGGGAAAATAATGAACGTCACATCTAACGTAACTGTCATTGACGACTCAGTGAAACAACTGTCAATGAGCACAACATATTTGAATTATTCTAATTTTAAATGAACGGAGACATAATTTCAGTCAAAATACGCGAATGAATTGTCCTGAGATAGCGATTAGAGCGTTCATGGAGGCGAGAAGGAACCAACTTAAAATCATGCTCCACTGTTCAGCAGTCCCATAAACCGAGTCTGAGGCATGAAATAAGGGCGAGAAGAAGATATCTTACTGCGTATCATGCAGTCTCTACTAATACTCGAACTCATACGACTGATAAATACATCGTACGCGTTTTCAGGAGCCACTGTTCCGACTGTACACTTGCGTGATGCATCTTAGCTCAGCATTATGCCCTCACAATAACAGCCGCACCCGTGCCGCTCATATTAACCAAACGCAGCTGAAGTTACGACGGCACTGAAAGCGGCATGTCTGCAGCAGCTGTATCCAATAACAAAATGACAGCAGCAGCGGCGATCAAAGACAGCGCAGACTATGCAGTAAGTTGACTTTACTGGTCCTCCGCCATTCATTCAGCTATGCCTCTGAAATCGCCAGTAGCGAAGCGCCGCCGCTAGCCATTCTCCGCGGCTCATGACCTTTTCACCGACACCCCTAGCGGGCCCCATGCGACCCGGGTCGATTTAGTGACGTCACGCCTACCTTAGGCTGGTCGCTGTCCGAGGCCTGCTGGTCTGAGACGAACTTGACGCGCACGTCGTTCATAGAGTCGGGTGATTCGCCGCTCGGGAGTATCTGAGGGGGAGAAGTGACGTCACAACAAAGAACAAGATAGACTGCTGGGACTAACAATGAGACCACGACAAAATTATCATTGAAATGAAATAATTATTTTATTTGAAATGCACATGTCGATTTCAATAAATGACATCTTATGATACATGATATTACAGATAGAGACAAAATATCCCTGCAATGCATCGTATCGGTAGAGCTCGAGCAGGTATGTACGCATACTCGTTGGTAGTGGCCTGGCTCAAACTCCTACACCTGTCGAGCAGCTCATTCCCGCCGGCACCGTCCTACAGTGCGTCGCTCCCTGAGGCACCCACCTGTCCGGAGTGGCGCTGTCCTCCGTCCGACACCCGTTCACCCACGACAGCTATTCACCTATCCACCAGATAACCCGTTCACCCCTGCTGAGGTACTCACCGGCCCGGAGTGGTGCTGTCCCCCCTCGGACACCTGCTCAATGGTGTTGGACAGCTCCATCTCCGTTCTTCGATGAGTCGGGTACTGCGGCGCGGCGGCCGCTGCCTCGGCTGTGAAAGACAAAACCGCGAGGTCAGTGGTAGTTCTACGTTATCACCAGGCTCAAGTACAACTTAAAACGATCAGGCTTCTTTGATAGGAATATGTCCCCATTTTGCTGATGTTTATAGCATTCCTCACACTAAAATACAACTGCAGCTTATCTGTACGAGATAAAACTCGTACAAAGGCTCATATTTTCTAATTACAACATGCATCACAATTCTAAACTCATTTGGCTTTTAAACTCAATTTAGATTGTCAGCAGCGCCCACAAGCAAAACGAATTCGACGAGTCAATCCTCCCCCTGGACTCACTTCGCAACGAACTACGACTACTCACCGAGTTTCTGTTCGAGTTTGCGCTGTTTCTTCCGCCGCCTCTCCTCTCGGAGTTTTTTCTTCTTCTGTCTCCTGAGTCGCCTCTCTTTGACCCACTGTGGCTCGTCGAAAGGACTCGGTCGAATCGACAGGTTCAAAGAGGCGGTCACCCCTCCCGCTGATCGAAGAAGGGGATGGGGAGGGGCGGGTCAATGGAAGGCTGGAACAGCCCCGTGCATAGGTGCATACATGCCTTATATAATGTCGGTATATTAGGTCGTCTAATTCTACGGCCAATTTACTGCCAATTTAAAATGTGTGTGACAAATGGGTGGTGATGTGTCAAACAAGGTAGCGATAAGAATACGGCCATTTAGGCAATTACCGGCAGGTATGTGTCGAGCTCGTCGTATGCAGGATTAATGACACCGCAAACTGGCATGCTACGAGCCACGAAACATACTGGAGTAGTGCTAATGATGACCCTGAAGACGGCTCTACTGGCAAACGGACTGGTCCTTCCTCAGTCTAAGACGGAGGTTTAAGTTGTAATGGTATACATATACGCATACGTATACGACATACGTATACGTAATAAGCAAAACAAAGCAAATGGGCAATATCCATATAAACATTGATGCTATTTGGATTGATGACAAACTTCAGCATCAAGATCAACACATTGATATCAATTGTCCATTGCATGATATAAAACAAGTTTTGAAGCAAAGGAAGGTTCGAACACATTTGACCTCGTCATTAACTGATGTTAGGAGCTCACCGATGCAGGTGTACCGTCCAGCGTCATGATACTCGACGTGTCGAACTCTGACCTGACCGTTCGCCTTGAGGCGGTATTTACGGCCTCCCGTCATACGGTCACCGTCTTTGGTCCACACGATCTTTGACCTGGAGAGGAGGCGGCAGGCCACAAAAGGTCACTCAAGCGGAAATCAAATATACTGTTATACGGCTGCAAGGTATAGTGTTCGGTGGATCAATTAGGGTAGATGCTGGTATAATCATTCCGTACGACACATGGCAATATTCAGGCATTCCGTATAATATAACGCGATGAACGTCTGTAACGCACCGTTCTGGTTAGAGGTAAAGGGCAAATGTTGCTACAACAATACCGGCAGCAGCACAAAGAATATTACAGACGAAGCCGGGCTGTAGCTATGGAGCTGCTACGCGGCTACATTCACCCTATCAAAGCCTTCAAAAACGGATTCAGCGCCGTCCGCCGTATAGTCCGCACCACGACGACGACGACGATGACAATAAGTACATAGGGGCAGTCAGCCGAGCTATACGATATTAAATCCTTTTTGTCGGTGCGTAGCGCATTGACTACTTTGCCAAGTAGAACGTCTGGCATTCCTAGAGAAGTTCAGCTGCATTGCCCAGATCAAAGGGTTAAATGCAGCATGTGCGTGGCATGTCGATTAACAAAAGCTTCTATATTAAAATACAATAGCTGCGACCTGCTGCGATCTTACAGAGAGCTAAAAAATCGTATCCGCTATCGTTTATCTACGTCATTGGTACGCACATTATTTATGGTTGGTCCAGGTTTTGCAATTGCTTCTGATGTTTTATTGCCATGATTTTTTGCCCCATTAATTGAAGGTGTTCCGCCGCTACTGCTTTAGTACTAGTTGATGCCAATGGTTTTCATTCCGTTCCATTAAAAATGCAATACAAATTAACCCGCGCCCCGCTGGGGGGGGGGGGCAGAATCTGCCCCCTCCCGTTTTTCGCCAATAACTTCTAAACGCGTTACACCAGCGACGTCAAACTTTCAGTACCTTATCATACATCAATTTGACACATTCCCTGAGAATTTGAGCGAAATCCGTCGGAAAATTTTTGAGAAATTGACGTTTTAGTGACGTCATGTTCGCCATTTTCGCCTCAAAAACGGCAAAATTTCAAACGCCGCTAACATCTTCATTTGTAAAGGGATCAAGACGTAACAAAAAAGGTTATACGTGATTCTACTTTGTCTATCAAATGGCTACCTCGGTTTTTTGAAAATTTTGGATTTTGGCCCAAATTTTTTAAAAAAACTGACTTTTTTGGGAAAATAATTATTAAATCCAAAATCTTGAGTGTATCGAAAAAAACGGAATATATGTCAGAGAACTGCTCTATGTGCACCTGCATTCCAATTTTTAGAAGAATCGGATCAAAAATGTGGGAGTTATTCAAAATTTTATGACGTCACGACACACAAAAATTTTGAAAAAATGAATTTTTTGGAAGTTCTAGACCTCGTACGGAAACAAAAATAGCACCATTCGATTTGCCGTGAAAAACTGCATCAGATAAACACCTTTTTAGGCCTTAACAACCAACTTCAAAATTTGACCTCACTTGACCTGACCTTGACCTGACCTCGACCTGAAATTTATCCAGAAGTGGTCCAGATCAGTTATTGAGTGTGCCTATTGAATTCTATGAGTAAAATGACCCGTAAAACACTGTGTCGCACATGCCCTTTTCTATATTTTGTTTTTGGTGACCTGACCTGACCTGACCTGACCTTGACCTTGACCTTTGAATGACATTGTATGCAACGAATATTGTCTTGGTAGTCTAAGAACACGTTTTGGGCAATCAGCCTCATTCCATTCTTCGGCAACTACGGTGCAAGGCCGATACTGTAGAAACTTGCATTTTGTACCCTTGACCTGACCTTGACCTGAGCTCTGACCTACTTAAGCAAAAAAATTGGGCTCATAAGATCCGCCTTGTTGAGAGCTTTCGATTGCCGTTTTCCCCGTCTTTCTACGACCATCGGTTCGGAAGTTAGACAGGGGGGGGGGGCAGAATCTCCCCCCCCCCCCCCAGCAGGGCGCGTATGGCTGAATAGCCCAGCGGGGCGCGGGTTAACAAAGGAAAGCGCTAGATCGCGGTCCTGTCATCATGCGCCCACGCAGTGTTGATGTGAACTTCATTACGTCGCTGTGTAAACTGGATCCACATCTCGCTCAGTGAGATGCCCAGATGAAGTCGGCTTCAGCTATGAGAGGTTTGTTGTGATCTCTGGAAAGCCCACTCAGCGGCTCTAGGCTCCGCACCGAAAACAGCGCGGCGCGCAAACCACGCAAAAGTATCAGACAATGCATAATTATAAAAACCATTTATAGGTACGCAGCCTTTACAACAGGGTTATTGATAAGAAGATAATGCAAGGAAAACTTTCAAAAAACCATCGAAAAGGAAAATTGCCATCAAATGTTCATTGTTTACTGCAGGATATCACAAAAATAATGGCTTGCAAAATTTGAGCACACAGCTCATTTACCTATCCCCATGGATATCAATGAGCCATCATTCATGATCCACAAATCTCGACAAATCCCCTATTGAGGGCTGGCAATATAATTAAAATGGAAACCAGCTTCATTCCATCAACCACAGAGCATACGCTCAATCTCTTACAGCCCCGACAGTAGAGCTCTCGCCCCGCAATACCCCAGCCTTCACCACGACTAACCGACCTCTGTGTCCCGAGTCCCGACCAATGTCATTGCCAGTCACAGCACATCGCCCTCCCGCCGAAAACTGACGTGTCGTGCAGGCATCAGTGTCACGGAACGTCAATTAACGCTGGCTTCACGGGCCGCACGGCACAAGACTCATTTTTCACACCCACTCAAAGTGGAAACCGGCACGCCACGAGCGAGCGAACAAAGGACGGAGCGAGGACAACAGTGAAGGGCAGAAAGAAGCATGGAGTATATCTGACCTTGCATTTTTACACGTGAACTTGTTTGCTACTCACGGTGTCTATTCTATCTCCTATATTCACTCATTTTTAAAATAGAACATTGACATTCCAATGATTTCATGTATAGCAATATTATCAATAACTTAATGATTGCAAAATTTATTCCATAAGATTTTCATTGAAAAAAAGAGCTGTATCTTCTCATTTAGATCATCCCCTTGAACTAAAGTTTAACAGCACCGTCGTCCTACATTTCGAACTCATTAAATTCTGATTCGATCTCCACAAGTCCTCGGCAGTTTCGCCACTGCTGTCTCAGCCCTCGCTACTAACCCCGATAATCCTGCAATACCAATTCAGCGAGTGTCTCTGTCCACTCCGGGCGGCTCCGCGGACCTTCAAAGTAGAAAGGAGATCGGGCGGCTTTGGACGGCCAATCAGCTCGGTCTTCGTAGCACAGGGATCACGCAGAGAGAATGGAACAGAAGTGGCACCGACACGGTGGGAAACGGCGGCGATACGAGGGTCTAGCGCGGCTGTAAGAACGAGCTGCACAATGTACATGACTGAATACTAGGGTAACATAACCCTCGCCCGTAAACGGAGTTTTGCCACCTTCGCTCATGCAGGGGGGGGGGGGTGCGACCCCCCCTGGCGTTTGAAAACGGAGCGTCGTAGAGCTTAGCGGAAAAGACCAACGGATTGCTCTCAAAGAGATCTCGCGATTGGTGGTATATTTTTTGGTCCTAGGTCAACATTTGACCTACTTATGACCGGTCAAAGGTCAAATTTTCGGAAAAATCTAACTTTTTCAGATTTCCGCGCCGATTGCGGCAAAACGGTAAGAGATGTCAACTTGAAACCTTCACTATCGTGATCCTTGATCAATTCTCTATCGTTTGGTGTGTATTTCGATGTCATAACCCTAAAAATGATGCGTTGGGAGCATCGGAAGTCTGCAAGGTCATTTGTGCATTGGGTCACGTCAGGCGTGTGACGTCACTGACCTGACCCTGACCCAAAATGAACTACAAGAAACAACCGACGTTGCCTGAAATGGATAGCAAATTCGAATTCAGGGCATCAAAATACCCCGAAAAGGCATACAAGTGCAAGAAGTCATTACAGGTCAACCGAGGTCACTGACCTTACCTTGACCTTTAGTAACCTTCAAAATGTCAACGGACATTGTGCCAATGTCAAATCAGCCAGTTGTGATTCTAAAACAATCCATCAGTGTGTCAGGTCAGTCGGCATTTATACCAATGTGAAGCAATCTCCAATTTAGCGTAAATCTGGCCGGAGGTTGTTCCCTTTATGACGTCATAACTCCGTGACCTGACATGACCTTGACAAAAAAAACAAAAGTTGCGCAAAGGATGCCCCAGAGGGTGCTGAAAATTTGCGCAGGCTATCTGAAACGGTTCGGCGTGTAGCTAAGAAAAACCTCAGGGGGGGGGGTTGCACCAACCCCCCCCCCTACATGGGCGAGGGATAATTTATACTCTACATAATCTGGATAAGGAATAACATAAAAATATGCCCAATTCATTAATGAGCTGTTGGGTCATTCACGAAAATGTGGTTAAACAGATCATCATTCTCCCGACCAAGAGTTATCAACCACCACATTACCTAATTATGGAGAGAATATCCCATGCGTTTTTGCTGTCACTTGGAAATAAGGCCGCTATATCATTCAGTTTAGGCACCGCCACGCTCCGTCCGGCCGCCTACTCACAAACTCGCCGCTAGATGACACTAGCGTCGTGCGCCTGAAGATATGTTGTACCGCAGGATACGTATGTTTCTGTATTTGCCGCTAGATGGCACTAGCGTCGTGCGCCTGAAGATATGCTGTACCGCAGGACACGTATGTTTCTGTATTTGCCGCTAGGTGACACTATTGTCGCGCGCCTGAGGGTATGCTGTACCCCAGACCACGTATGTTTCTATATCCGCCGCTAGATGACACGACTGTCGCGCGCCTGAAAGTATGCTGTACCGCCCGGCATGAATGCCCCTGCATCCACCGCTAGATGACACTAATAGACGCGTTTACATAGGGTTTGTTGCAAGCTTATGTCCGTCCGTGATGTTGCAAAAGATGCCAATGGTGCTGAACAATTTACAAAATGATCCCCTCTAAATATTTGAAGACCACTGCATCGAAATTATCGCCAAATTAACGAGCTAGAGCCTCGTCAAGTATGCTATGTAAACCGGGTTAATGTCGTGCGCCTGAAGGTATGCTGTACCGCAATACAGGTATGCTTCTCCATTCGCCGCTAAATGACTCTTGCGTAAAGTGGGGGAAAGCGCCGCGTTACTAAGCTTTGTGATTGATAATTTCGACACCGTAACGATTCACATTGGCATTTGAGGATGTAACAGTGCGGATTTTGGAGGTCTTTACATAGTCTGAGCATGCGCTGAGGTTTCCAGCAGCTAAGCTTTGTGATTGATAATTTCGACACCGTAACGATTCACATTGGCATTTGAGGATGTAACAGTGCGGATTTTGGAGGTCTTTACATAGTCTGAGCATGCGCTGAGGTTTCCAGCACGGACATACCTGTCGAAGTGTCGGACCGGACACTTGAGCTGGACCGTGGTGCCGTCGAAGACGACGGCCGAGCCGCCGATCTTCAGCGTGACCCGCCGCTGAGGCGTCTCTTGTTCATAGGACTGCCGGAGAAAAACGGAAAATGTGAGCAAAAGCGTCAGGCAGCATGTCTATAAGACCAGCAACTAGCGAACAGTGTCACATCATATCGCGGGTTGTGACAGGAATGTTCAAGATCAGTTTGGGAGGAGTCCGGGCGTTGAGATGACGAAGCCGATCTAAAAATGCTCGAATGAAAACGTCAACTCTACGTAAAAACGCCCGAAACGTCCCACTGCGAAGCCAAATGTTTCTTTTCTAGTATGCCAGTTCAAAGTCGTTTAACACGGACAAATCATACACGTCAGAGGCAGAAAAGCCCGGCGCACAGGGCCGCGACTCGGATAAACTCCAGTGTTGTCTCCCACCCGTCGTCTTTGTCTTGGTTTGTGGAACGTGACATCAAATAATAGAACAGCCGGAATGGGACAAACATAACGCACGGAAATTAGATGGACTCCAGAGAGAGACACGGTCACAAACCATTCAAACAATGCAGGCTTATATTCTACACAACGGAAAACATTCTATCTACATGTTGGATACCAGCGATCTTATAATTACCTGCCATGATACGCCTTATTCATCTTCGTTCATAAGGAAACCTGTCTTAGATGCATTACATGTTTAAGCAAAATATCAATAATCTAAAACATTTCCAAAATGAAAACCTTCCCCTTTACCATTTTCTGATCCCTTGGCAAAATGGGCATCCGCCCTGAATTGTGAGTCCGTCCATTTACGTTAGACCGTTCCACTACATTCTGACAGGTTTCATGAAGTTGAGCCCGATTAAGGCATGTTTTAGCCACTTTAAGGTGTTAATGATGTTTGCTTTTGGACTTGACATTGGGATCCCCAGCACCAACAGTGCGTGACGGCCCGTTCGGCTCGCCTCCATTGTTAATAATGTTGTTGCGCTCGGGCGGTGGTACCGTTTACTGATGCACCGACGACAGCAGAAAGGCTACAGAGGTGAATTTTTCACCACCCTTCCGACACTCCTGCGCGCGGCAGCAGACAGCCAATGGTGACAAATGCCCACATGAACAGCTGTAGGATGGCGGAATGCGGAGCGATGACGGACGGGTTGGGGCCATGACGTCTGAATTGTGTCAAGCTTCCTTTAGGAGCAGCGGTCATTGCTTTCCGAAAGCAATGACCAAGTTCAAACTTCTAAGATTTTTTCGATACGCTGAAACAAGCCAATGCTAGAGGCAATCGCTAACGTGCGTCAACACTCACTCCAGTTTTTTTTTATAGATTGCCGAATAGGGTAAAGACACAACCACAACTAAAAAACAAATAGTTATTTACTGTATTTTGGGTCACAAAATAATTATTTGTAAAACATAAAAATGTACATTCATTCGTATCGTCCATGAACATTTTGTTATCGTTGTGAATGCCATGGCTTTAAGCCCGTTTCAAAGAAAATGTACACAATTTCTTCAAGCGTAAGCAATGATTTGATGTTGCAGCATTTCCCAAAACTGCAAAATGTCCATGTTTTGTTGCTGGGCGAGAGCAAAACTAATCTGTATGAAAGTGGTGCATTTCGGGCAATTGCGGGCAAGGCTTCGAGGAACTTGTCAGTTCTTGAAACTCGCAATTGACCACTGCTTCTGGGCCGGTGTCACTCGAAATTACATCGAACGTCGCACATCCGGGACGCAACGAAACAGAAAAGTTCAGAAAATTGTCTCGCATAGCAACAGGCTTCTCGTGCTACGAATACGTCGTACAAGACTTGGATCAAGACATGACCAAAAGATGAGGCCTAAATATTGATAAGATTGTTAAATGGCAATGAATTCTATTCAACTGCGAGACATCGAGTGGTCTTCATTTCAGGGATTTAGCACAATAAGGGACAAATAATACATAGCTCATGTTAATTACGTTCAAATATCGATAAGATTTATCATGGGTAGGTACATACCACATGTATGTGGTATGCATGGGAGTAAGGCACAAGCGCGAGTGCCATTTGAGTGGTAAGTTGTGGTCAATAAGGCAGAAAACTGAGAATTTTTCACATACTCGTATTCAATTATCTCCCAAGTTAACCAAAAACGTTTAAATTCGTGAAAGAAAATGAGGAATACAAGTAAGGAGCCAAAACAGGGCAATTACAAACAAACGAATGACAAAACGTCTTCAATCATAATTCATAAACAAGAGCAGTCAAGGTTCTAGAACTTAATAATCCAACGAAAAATGGTCATTTTACATATTTCCATCTGTAGTGATCGCCATTTGGATGTACCTCATTACAAATGCTTCTCCGAATCATAAAGCCATAGATCACACCGATGAGCAGGATGCAACGGTACCTGATCTACGATTCACCGATTCAGCAGCCTATTCATAGCTTAGCTGCGGCATCCATCAATCGCCCTGCCACCTCGTCACCTGGCCGCATAGTCTTCACGTGAACTGCTGAATAAATGACGGCGAAAATGCCGACAAGGTCCACCGGTGGTGGCAATCATCGCATGGCTATTCACGGTGGTGGCAAAAATGCAGTACGATCACCCATAATGAGCTTTTAACGACGAGATAATAGGCGGTAGTGACAGTCATACATCTTCATGCGTCAGCCGGGATATAGTAGAACAACGCAAACAGAGCGAGATCAAGAAAGGGTCGCACTCATAACTATCACAAAAAATCTAAAAGTTATCTGTGAGGAAATCACACTTGGTTGGAGGCAGACATGTGCATGGATCCGAGAGCTGGATCTATGATCTCAGTGGATCTCTCGACAAAATAGAGGGGTTGGATCTATGATCCGAGTGGATCTCTCGACAAAATTCAGGGGTTGGATCTATGATCCGAATGGATCTCTCGACAAAATGTAGAGGTCGGATCTATGATCTCTGTGGATCCAGCGGGCAAAAAATTGTGGAGGACCTATGATCTGTATGGATCTCACGACAACATGTAGCCAATGAAACCCTTATCCTACATAATCGTACACCTTACAGTGCAATACAATTGAGAATTGTCACTTGTGGACATGGTTAAGACCAGTTGTAATCATTAGGTATCATCATTAAATTTGAATTTGAATCAATAACATTTGTACTACATTTAAAATAAACCACGAACATGCTAGCAACATGCATTGCTACTTTTTGTGACCAATTGTAACTTTTTCATGACAGCACTGATGACAATCTTATCAACAAGCTACAGCCACTTTAATTCAATGAACAAACAGTACAGACAGATGCAGTGGCAGCGGGGCACTGCAGATTTTCATTTTGGTCCCAATCTTTCCATGCAACGCCAGTAGGGCTAATGTTAAAATGCCAAAATCTATGGGGGGCACTGTACCCTGGTGCCACCCCCCCCCCCCTGTTCTGCCGCCTATGGACAGATATTAGGAAATCAAACCTGGAAGCCAAATAGGTCAGTTTTGTAATTGTTAAAAATAATCCAGCAATCCACTTCTGCCAGGTATGAAATCCCAATCCAGAATGTTCGTATGAGCTATTAGTATGTGCAACACAATTTCGATTTAGTAAGAATAGCAACCAACCTCTAATACTTTCCTAATAAAATTACATGTTCAAAAATGGCATCAACTTCTTCAGATTACCTACTTTTGGCATCGTGCCACACGTGTGATGCCATGCTGTGCTTTCGTTATGAGAGAGCCTCCCAAAAAAAGACAAACGAAATTCACAGCTCACGTTTTGGTAATGTTGTTTTATTACGTCATTATCGTTTGACCAATGAAAAATCTTAATTTGACTAGAACCGTAATGATTCCAAAAGATTCCCCGTAATAGGCCATTAAAACTAATGACGTAAGATAATGTGATTCTTTTGAAAAGTGAATAAAATAAAAATGCGAGGCGCACACCCGGCTCAGGCCCATGTAATACCTTTTCAGCTTACGTTTACGTCATTAAATTCAACGCTACAAAGATGATATTCACAAACAATCGTATCGTAAAATTATGTGAGGCAGAAAAAATGAATATTCTTTTGAAAAAAAATCCAGACTTTTGAATTTCCAGTTTGATTTTTTATTTATTTTCATTATACTCGAAGGTAGAACGCTTAGCTCATTTGTTATTTGAAATGACGTCACGAGTTCTATTCAGACACTGAATAATCATTTTACGGTAAATATCCAAGGCCATTACAATTGATATTTCGCTTCCCATCGCTTCCGCGCAGGCTGTTGGCCTTGGGCTGTTGAATATTTTTATACTTTTGTTTAATGTTTATATCTCAGTTTATTTTATCAAATATTTCTTTCAATAGATTGAAATACCTTTACCTAACCAGTAACCAAGCCACATGTGTCAGTATCATCTTTTATTGTTTATCAATCAATTGTGTTAGCTGTAAACTGGAAAGCCTCATGGTTGTCTAATGCAAGATTGTCTTAGCAAAATCATTATGTAGATTCTAACATGAATTGTGATGTGGTAGGTACCTAGTAATGTATTGTTCATTAGTCATTACTTTGACTTACCTCTATGTTAATTGTTAATGCAAACTTTTCTGTTGGTATGTGAACAATCTTCATGTCACTCTACTCTCAAGTTGTGACCGTCATGAGCCTCCTTTATTTTGTATTCTGTATAATGTAACTGGATGCCTTTACTAATATGGCCTTTGTTTAAGATTGTTTGTTTCTAACCATACTTTGGTATTCATAACTGCTTATGAAAGAAAGTTGTTAACATTTTGAGCACCTATGAGCTATGATCCCAATGGATCTCACGACAAAATTGGGGAGCCAGATCTATGATCCGAGTGGATCTAGCGACAAAATTGAAGGGTCAGATCTATGATCCCAGTAGATCTCTCGACAAAATTGAGGGGTTGGATCCATGATCTGAATGGATCTCGGATCGGGATCCATGGGATCGGATCTCAGATCCATTTTTCCGGATCCAAGCACATGTCTGGTTGGAGGCAATGATCTATGGCAAGTCATGCCTGAATAGGGGCGATCTATGTAAAATGTGTCCGGGCATACCATCTGGTAGAAGGCTATGATCTGGGACCATTCATACCTGATTAGAGGCAATCTAAAATAAATTCGGGCATACCTGGCTGGATACTTTCATCTGTAGCCCATCTTACTTGGTTGGAGGCAATGATATGGGTCGGGACTAGTCATACCTGGTTGGAAGCGATCTAAAATATGTCCAATCGTACCTGGTTAGAGGCTATGACCTACGGCCAATCGTACCTGGTTAGAGGCGATGATCTGCGGACCGCGGCACTTTCTCGTGTTGCACGGCCTCTTGTGCGGTGGGCTCTTGGAGCCGCACATGGAGGGCGCCTTGTCTACCACGCTGCCGTCGGACATTCGCTGCTGACAGCGCAGCTTGCGAGTCTTGATGCCGCCGCCACACGATCGAGAGCACTGGGGAGAGAAAAGTGGTCAGTGGGCTGTATCGAGATGCATGGAGGAAGAGATAAGTCATCTTTATTAGATGAAGGGACGTTTGTAGTGCTACAATCAGCTTCAAGTGACGGTTCGGGTACATATATGCTGTGGATGTGCGCAAATGTGCTCATTTCAGTTATTTCATCTCAGAGACGGAGTCGAGTTGCGCCAAGTTGTTCAAAACTATCCCGTCTTCTTCGACAATTGCATGTCTAACTCGCAAAAGTAGTCTAGCTTCTTCTATTAAGTCATCCCAAGTTCGGACGACAAGTCTCGTTCAATCTACGCAGCAGCACGGTAGTGCCACAAAACACGCTTTCAACGAAATTCAATCGACGTCGCAACAGCCATGTTTTTCCAACACACCAACTGTGCAATGACATGACGGACCAACTTGGACGGACAAAACGCCTACCCCAGCCGGCTAATGGCACATTCGGCCCCGCCCAACGATGTCGCGCCGCCATTCGCTCCCAGCCGACCACGGTCACAAGTCCAACATCCAAACCGGTCACGGCCAAAGTTCAGAGTTTGAAATCAATGCTCGTGTCCGATAGTCCGTGGGCAGGCCAGCGAAACACTCGCAATTCTGAGCGGAGAAAGGCCGTCCGTCGGCCGCCGAACTTATCGAGATTTGACCAAGTTTGACGGAGTGAACGGACGAACACATGCTTTCGGCGGCGGTACCCCCTAATCTCCCAATCCCCTGTGGCCGGAGAACGGCTCTGCATTGCGGAAGGCTGCCTGCCCGGGCCAAGTCACCGCTCAGGGTCCAGGCTCCGCAGAGCTCGGTACAAGTTTCTCGGCCCTTGGACGGCGATGCGGTGCTGCCCAAGTTTGCAGCGACCATGTTGCAAGGACAATGTTAGTGTATGGTGTGTGGTGATTCAGAGAGGACCAGAAGTTGATCATCACCAGGGTCCGACCGGGCTGTTGACCGGGTAGGAAAGCCGGATGTGACACCCAGCGTCCAATATAATGATCAAACGGTATGTTTTGAAGAATGGACGACTTAGCTATCGCCCACGGTGACTATTATCGCCATTCGTCAAAACGATGTGATAGGTGGCTGGGACTTGCCAAACAGCTCAAAGCGCCTCCTATTTTCTTTTACGCTTGGGGAATACGTTTTCGCGTTGCTGTACTCGAGTGACATTCTTCCAATGCATGCCAAACTTGGCAGATTTTACACCTGAGTGGAACATAACGTTGCCTAATGCCTTTTCTTGGAGACACAATAGAAATAATAACTTCTCTTTTTAGGGGGGGGGGGGGCACAACTAACTATGTACAACAAAGTCATCTCGATGGACAACCACATTCATGCCTTCACTGAAACACTTTTGAAGGTCAGAGCCAAAGTATCTCACCTCCTATATTTTCCTGCACCCCAGCAATCAGCATCACCGCCACAGATTTTGTCCCGCTCACACCAGTCCAGACACCTATACCTCACCGTCTCAGACTCATCTCACAACCGTCCTTCATCGACACCCACCCAACGGTTCCTTCAGACGCCCATGACCCACCTCGCTCCAGGGCTCGGGCTGCCAGCGCGGCGGGCAGGTGACCATGTTGCACAGCTGGTTGTCGGCCGGTCGCGGGGCGGCACACTCCGAGTCAGCCACTGTCAGGGTGTTGCCCTCGCCCCGCGCCAGCTCATGGATACAGCTCACCTCACGGGTCTGCGTACCTGCCGGGTCAAAAAGCGAGAGTTAGGGGTGTATGAGGCTCGGGTTAGAAGAAGTGTTAGTGGAAGAAGAAAGTTCAGACAAGTACGAGCTTGCACTTTCAGGATAGAGATATAAGAAGCACAGCACCTCTTAGGAGAGAGAAAGGGAGAACAAGAGGAAGGAAGAAAAATGGGCCGTGGGATGAGCGAGGGAGACCGGAGAAGAAAAGGGGGACGGAGAAAGAATGAGGGAGAAGCTCGAGTTGAACATAAGTTCATGCCCACGCATATGTGATTATGGAGCTACTTCAAACATTTTAACGGCCATTTTTCTCCAATACCGACGCTAACACCCGTGAAGAGCTTATGATGTTTCCACACGGGCCAATATTCTAAACAGCGGCGGCGATTTCCCGGTGGAGCAATTGGCGTCGTTTCCGGTTCCATGGCCGCCGCGTCACCGGGCGCGCCACCGTCGCCGTCCCGCTGGTGCCATATGATGACACTGCAGCGGCCCGCGGGGCGCCGTTATTGCCACAAACTCGGCGTCAATCCATCATGGCGGCTGAGTAACGACGCCAGCTGGCGTCCACAGTGTGCAGAGTGTCGCACCCTGCAGTCCCTGATCCGGCCTCCATGCCCAGACAACAGGGTCGTGAGGCAGCTTTACTCGTAATGTTACGACAAAGTGAATTTTTAGAAGATATTGCAAAGTTATTTTCCTAGACGTGTCTACAAATATGTTCTCAGAGGCATTTAGGGGTCCTTATGCTGGTAAACGTTCACCGTTTGACGTCATACTGCCGCCTACAGTCGAGCATGTCAGGTTGCTTGGTCAGTAATCACTGTGTGGCTATAAGGTGTAACACGGGTAGCGTGTGGCAGTGACGCATTGAGCTGACGTAATGCCACCTCTCGTGATGGACCAAAGACCACACCGTGCTGAGGTTTCGTGGAAACCGCATGCCTAGATGGATTGCCTGACGCCCGACACCGGACGACAAATTACTTCCTTGCCTGAGTTCTGCTCGGCCTGTCATGGAGCCAAATAACGTCAGTATGTCATGGAACAGTGTAAGGGTGTCAGTTACATAAAAATAATACGCTTGGAGCCTGTATGGTAGTGATCGTTCACACACAGCTGCACGACGCACATGAATAAAGTAATCATAAACATTCACGCCGACCTGAAATTTACTCCCGCACGCGACTCCTGACAGCACACGAGGTGTAACAGTTCAGCAGCTAACGGGCGCTGACGTAGCTGACACATTTTACTTCCATTACAGCAAATCACCGTCTTCAGCGCTATCCAAGGTGATAGTTGTTTGCCTCCAGAAGCAGAAAACGGAGAGGGCGGGAGCAGTGCTGACTTTGTAACGGTCCGATGCAGCCCATCGGTATAGTTCTAGGCACAGTGCACACCCGCATTGAATCTGCAGCTATCAGATACAACATTGCACGGATTAGCTAGCACGCTTAGGCACACCAGCTGACCACTCTCTGACCACTCAATGAGCGCTTTCTGACAATCACCTGACCGCCCCTAACCATTTCCCGACTATTCTGACCACTCCCTGGCCGTCGTGTGGCCCAGCCGCAGGATTTGCCCACAACAGTCCCCCCCCCCCCTCCCCACCGCCTGGCTCGGCAGGCTGGGCACGCGTGCCCCGAAGCACTGCTCATTCTCCGTCTGCCACATCTCATCTGGGTGATGGAGCACGCACTCCGCCACTGACACACGCTGATCTCGTCTGGTACACTGACAGAAACATTCCCAGAGTGACGATTCATTGAACATGTAACCAGATGTAAGGATGGTCATTTGTCAACGGTTCAACTAACAGATAAGCCAAGAAGTCTGGCATATATACTTGAAATAACATCGACTGAATCAAAATAGATATGTAATTCAGGGAACTGGTGCCATAATAAGTGGTTCGGGCTTTTACAAGCCGATGTCATGTGCTTTAGAAATGGATTATTTACGAATACTTATTTGCTAAAACGGAAATAATAGGACTGAAGCCTATACTACGGGTTCCATTAGACGAAAACCACGACATTCCCGTAAAAAATTTGAATATTATAACAAGACATAACAAGCCCTGCACATTGGGTAACAAAAATGCCTCGCAACCCATGAACAGTTGAAGCTGTTTTCCAGACCATGTATCCTAACAAGCACTCCAACTATAGAAACAGTATATACTAACCTTTTCCGCAGCGCCGCGAGCAGGCGGAGAATTCCGTGACGTTCCACCGTGGCGGACAGGGCTGGTCGTTACAGGTGCGTGTGATGCTGTCAGGACGGGTGTCCAGACTGCACTGGAAGGGGCTGACTTCCAGTCCGTCCGAGACGCGCACGCACTGCACCAGAGACTCCTGCACGCCACCTGTGGGGAGGGGGGGGGGGTTTATAGAGGCCCTATAGAGGGGTCCTCGGATGGTAAACGGTTTATGCTGTATGTAACGGGATGGTAAAAGCGTCCATCGGCTTATGCAACAATGATAGTAACTACCTAAAAGTCCGTACAAGTTTCCGAAAGTAGTAGCTAACTAGTTAGGCCGCTGTTATTTATTCGTATAATTTCCAGCTGTTCGGCCTGTATCATTTATTCTCCTTATTCCTACTGGCCGAGCTGTTATACCCTGCTGCCAAAAGACCATAGGCACTCACCGAGGCAGGAGGAGCTGCACGGAGTGAACCCCGCCTTCTTCCAGACGAACCTGGCCTGCTCGGGCGGTTCGGGCGGCGGCTGGGCCTCCTTGGGTCGGATAACCACCACACCGCTATCCAGTTCTCTCCCATCATCTGCACCGCCTCTACCGCCCTTCCGCATCCCTCCGAGCAGCTCGAACGAGCCGGCCACGTCCTGGTAGGTGCGCCCGCCGTTGAACATGTGCGTCCTCAGTCGGACCATCGAGTCGATCGGGCGCTCCGGACTGGAGAACCGGTCCGGATGGTGGCGAAGAGGAGGGTCCGGGCCGGGCACGTCCTCCGGACTGCCGAAGTCGTCGTCAAAAGGGTTGACCTCCGGACTGGAGAAGAGGTCATCTCCGTCTCGGTAGTCGTCACGCGGAGAGTCGATTTCAGGGCTCGAGAAGCGGTCCAGGTGGGGTCGACCGTGGTGCTCGGGGCTCGAGAACGGGTCAGAGTGCACGGCAGTGTCTCCGAGAGGTAGCTCTGAGCTCGAGAAGTGGTCGAACGCGGGCGGGTCGTTGACGTCGTATAAAGCGTCGTAGGTGTGACGCGGTGTCTTGTCGCTGCTCCGCTGCTGGTGCTGCTGCCGGAACGGCTGGTGGTAGCTGTCTCCCGACCTCAACCTGGAACAGATGGTGATGAAGGAAATAAAGATATATAAGTAAACATGGAGAGTTGTGAAACATGCTATCTTGTAAGAAAACGTTCCACATTTAACACCACGCAAAGCGCTGAAATAATAATGGCAATGACATAAAATAACCAACCTGACACATCCTCTGACAATTTAAAGACAATCAACGCTATTCAACCTCCCCGAACCATCTCCTTATCATGCATTAGGGGGCAGGTCAGTGAAATGCATTCTGATCATCGCCTGGCGTTCCGGCCTCACTGACCCGAGGCAGGGCGGCAGAATGCAGCGCTCTAGGTCAGCCGGCGGGTGGCTACCACATTCTCTGGGAGGCAGCGTGACCAGGGTCTGAGAGAACTCCAGGTAGACCTTGCACTCGACCTTGCGCCGCCGCAGTCCCTCACCGCAGGTCACCGAGCACTCACCCCACGTGTCCGCCACGAACCTGGCGAAGGGAGTGAGAGGTTAGCTGTGAGCAGAGCAGGGTAGAACAGGGCAGGATAGAGAGGAGCAGAGGAGGACAGGATAAGGCACCGCAACTGGTGTGACAAGGCAAGGCATGTCGGAACGGATAAAATGTAAAGATCTACTAATTAAGTCACTATAAGGAACCATTAACAGGAATAAGCAAAGCAACGACAGAGTCTGATAAATGGTTAGCTTGCAACGCTTGACAAAAAGTCAATTAAAATAAAGTCTTTTTTATTCAACTACGTTTTTATAACCACCCTGCGCGACGCGCGTCTAGCGTACGACAGGGAAACATACAAATAAAAAGAAATCCTCGCACGGCTGGGATAAATAAAAAACTTGCCTTATACCTCTCCTTCCAGCACACAAATTGCACTTTGTCGGGATCGGCAGCAATCTACGAGCACCCAGGGCGCGGTGAGTAATAAATAATTGAAGTGTTGACCGCCGGTTTGCGATGCCTCTGGGATCGGACACGGTCCGGCTATCTGTTAGTGAGCGAGTGCGACGAATACTGAACGACCGAACCTGCATTGCGGCACAGGTGAGCTGCCGTTAGCTAGCCCGTGTGCCCAGGGAAGGTATGTCGTGTGAGCAGTCACAGCGGCGGGCTTGTCAGGTGAGGGGGTAATTCCGCCCCCTCCCCAGCCCACCACTCGCCCGCCGCGCCGCCGCCCATCCAGGCACGCGGCACTCACGCCACGCACACATCACATCGGGTGGCGGTCGGCCGTGGCCAGCGACAGCCTGCCAGCACGCGGCACTCAGGAGCTGTGGTAATCGCAGCGGCATCCGTCAGACCGTCACACCTGCCCACGCCCGCTAATGGAGGCGCAATGCAGGTGTCATTGCACGAATTTCTGTATAGCTATGTGTTTTATTGAATTTCACATAAAACTCAGAAAGGCAGAACTCATGGAGAAGTACCATTTCGACCTAGCTGTCAGTAAGATTTGAAGCAATCAAAGTCAGCTCGTCAGAGTGTAATGGCCAATTGAGCCTTAGACTAGCATCATTTCAAATCACTGCAAGCTTCATCGTGCATCTATAATTTAATTAAGCGCCTCGAATCAGATAATCAGCTGCAGCCTATGGCATTTCCAGCACCGACAGAGTCATTCGGCATTGTTGATAGTGAAATCGTCCGACGATTAACTCAGTGCGGACGTCTCCTGATGGCCGTTAAACGGAGGTCGCGGCTCGGTCTAACGGCCAGCTAGCCGGATTCTGACTGAGTGTGTACGATATGCAATGGATGTCGGAAATAACTAGCTGGTGCTGCATTATATATTTAATGCCATTTTTTGGACAGCAGAAGCTTATGGTGAGTACAACCTAAATAGCTTACGCCGGCTTAAATGTTTTCCAAAAATGTAAAACTGCAAAAATAGCAAAACAATAGCCAAATGGAATGCAAATGGATAATTTATGTAGGCGCATACATCTAAAAAAGAAACTCGACCAGCAGGCAGCGTATGTGCTTCGAACAATGAGTGAAGCCATCATGACATTTTGCCTTTAATAGTTCATTAGCGCTTTTCAGAAGCACTACGGTATCCTTCCACTCACACTGAAGGCCATCACAACAACCCAAGTACGTAAAAACCGCGTCGGTAAGCGCATAGCTCCAAAATTGTAAGCTGTGAGGTCGCCGGCCCCACCCCCGCCGCCCAGTACAGGCCAGCTAACTAGCGTGCAGCTGCCGCTGTTACTACGTCCCGGCCGTGCACTACTACACTGTGTTTCTGCCTGCCAATAGGTGGGCCGATAAGGGTGACACGGTGGACGGAAGGGTCTTCGGGGACTGACGGAAACGCCGATAGCACCGGTAGCACCGATAACCGGGTAATTATTGGTCGCCCGAAATATACCGACTGGAAGGCAGCAGCACACAAATATACAGCAACACAAACTGATGTGAGCTTGTTTGGGTTTTAGCGTTTGCCACTTAACGCTGCCAAGCGCGATTGCTACTAACGCAAAGCAAATTTGAGCCTTTATAGAGAAGCGCTCATACCATACTACGTCATGAGGTAAATGCGCATAGCACGTCATGTGGGGCGCGCACGTCACTGTGCCTACATGAACACCACCACCAGTCATATGAGCACCACACACCAGTCATACGAGCACCACCACCACACCAGTCAGTCAGGGACATCGGACATCGACAGGGGCGCTTTTCACCGGCAGATGTTCCGCCCTATTCCGCCATGAAAGCCGTCAGTCAGCTCTCGTAAATCGGTATTAGCGGGCTGCAGGTGGGCCAGTGGTGCTGTGTGCCGGCCGGGCCGCCGGTACCGTCCACCGCACCTGGCCGAGCGCAGCGGCCTGAGCCCCAATTGGCCCAATCATGCATACAAACAGGCGTCAGCGGGCGACGGTCGGCCTGTCTGGCTGCCCGCGCACGGTGGGACTGCTGTCTGCCTCGTCAGCACAGCTGGATCGCTCCCAGGTCGAGCGGGGGTGGTGGGCGGGGGTGGAGATCGGGGGGGGGGGCAGCGTACAGGTGAACGGAACGATGAAAGGAGTAGCTGACACTATAATTGAACGCATTAGTAGGAAAAGGCTACTTACTTATAGGGTAATTTTTAAACGCTAACAAACTTCCTAACTGTACCAACGTTGGAAGTAGGTACGTACAGACATGTGCATTGTGCAATCATTCAGTCAACTGCACTTGCAGAACTATTTTTAGCTGCACGGAACTGACGAAGCGTGGAAGGGATGTCGTGCACCCAGTTAGCTGACATTTGTGTGATGCTGTTTTGAACCAGTCGTGGTGTTTACGAGCCCATATGGAAGGTTAACTCAATTTTACACCGAAAACGCACCGGTAAATCAACCCAGCTAGAAGATGTTACTTCAACGAAAAGACCAACCAGAATAAAATGCTTCTACCACCACTGTCACATGCCACTCATTGATTGGTTTAAACCAGGGCTGCGGAGTCGGAGTCGGAGTCGGAGTCGGAGTCGGTCGGAGTCGACAGTTGTGACCGGAGTCGGAGTCGGAGTCGATTTTAGAAACCCGAGCCGGAGTCGGAGTCGGAGTCACCGAAAATCTGTCGACTCCGCAGCCCTGCTAGGTCTGCGGAGTCGGAGTCGGGAGTTGGAGTCGGTCGGAGTCGACAATTCTGCCCGGAGTCGGAGTCGGAGTCGGAGCTGGTTTTTGAAAGCCGGAGTCGGAGTCGGAGTCGGAGTCGCCGAAAATCCATCGACTCCGCAGCCCTGGTTTAAACTGACCGAATTATAAACTAGCTATCGGCGACAAAGATCTAGTTTATGACCAAATCGAAAGTAGAATTGTTACGATAAGTGATTGTATCCTGCTCGTATAACGCCCGGCAGAATAAAAGTGTTGCAATGAGTGAGTTGACGTTAAATGTAAGCAAAAACAAGTTTCCGATCAGTAGAAACAGTTATCCAATCAGTAGAAGCAGATTTCTCATCAGTATATCTCTGTCGTCCTTCATGTCTCTAACCGTCTCAATGCTCCCATTCACCTGATTTTCTGACCCTGACCCTCCGACTGCGTCCCCGTGCGTGTTGTTCGCGGGTCTATCCGTATCCCTCCCTGTATAGTGTATAACCCGCCGAACCACGCTCTGAATAATGAAGGGCGCCTCGCTCGACAGCAGCCTGTTTTGACACGTCCCGCACATCTTCTCGCCTGAGTGGCAGGTCGCGTCAGCCAACCACGCCGTGTGGAATTCCTACATGCCTCCGCTGAGCTGAGCTCGACGCTTGCAGAGGGGACCCGCGCGGCTAGTGGGGTCGAGTCGAGTTCCCGGCGAGAGAAACAACTTGGACAGTTTATGGCCTGATTTGTCCCATCAAAGTTGGTTTTCCATTAGTTGACTTGATGTAGTCTTTCGTAAGTCAGCGACCCAGCTCGGCTTCTGCTGTGGACACGATGCATACCGTGATGTTGGGTACGCGGTCAAATCGCCTCGATTAGCGTGGCTTGCATGTTTCTGTTGGTGTATACCCATCGACGGCGGAAAAAATCGACTACGCCGGGCCACCAGCGACCAATTACAAAAAGCACGCAAGGCTGTATGAGAATACTTGGCAAAGCGTTTTCATATTTCGCCGATAGTAATAACCCTTGTTTGTATTTTCTTTGTACAAGCGGCCAGCCATTGGCGGCGGGGCGGGCCCCAGGACGCGGCACGCAATCACTCGGTATTGATGGGGTCGCCAGGTCGGTGGGCCTGCCGGGTCACCCAGCCGGGTCGACTGGCTGTGGCCAGCCATGCGACTCAGTGTTTGTGTTTCCCATAGCTTTCCAGGTTGCTAAGAAACGAGCGTTTTGGGGACCCATAGCTTCCGTTGGCTTCAATGTTAAAAGAGATGTGTTTTTAGAACAAGAAACTGGCATCAAAATACCTCAGAAATAGCGAAAATGCAAGTAATTGCACGTATTACCGTCAGAATTGCGCATTATACGTGAACAAAGCATAATCGTGATGTTTGATGCAGAGGTTATCATGGAACCTTCGCCATGGCTGGAGCTATTGACATGTCCCGTGACAAAATGTCGCACAGGCGTACTCCAAAGGTCCAGTCCTTTAGCTTACACAGCTCTGGGGAATCCCCCGGACCGTTTAAATACACTCGACTTTAATTAATTCCAGCACAATTGTTCCGGTAGTAAACAGAAAAAGTCGAAGCAGCGATAAGCGTCTCACCGGTGTAAACAACTTCTCGAGAAACGCTGCAGTCCTTTGCAAACAAGGTCTTTTATCAGTGGGGGAATATTCGGGTGAGTGAAGCTATCAAACTCTATGATTTATACTTCTGTAGTTTAGTTCCGGATATTGCTAATTTTCAGATGAGCACTTCTGCAAACACGATGTCGGCTGTGTTTAACAAGAGTTTTCATTTTTTAAGAGGGTAATATCAAATCAAATATGTGAAATATTGAAATATAATACCGCTTGCTGTTATACTGCTGAAACGGCTCCAAAGAATGATACGTCGTTTACACTAGCCTCCTTCACTTACTTGGGGTCTGTGCTGAGCGTTAACTGCTGGCTAGACTCGACTGTATAGGCGTCTATTTTACTTAGGGGAGAGTGGGGCAAAGCGGCCACCCGGGGCAAAGCGGCCACCCATCGTTTTAGCCCTTCATAGCTGGCGTCAGTTCCAATTTACATGGTTTCCAATTATACTTCTCTTCACGGTCGTTCGAATGAGCCAGACCGGGGTTTCAGGTCCATCACCATTGTTCTGTGAAACACGGAAAAGCATTTCTTGCCAGGTTACCAACTATGTTTACAATTTTTAAATGTTATGTTATTCCATAACCGTTTGGAATTTTTATAAGCATTCTTGTCCATGCATTGCATGGTTATCGTACATGTAGGGGAGACCCGGGAGGTATGGGCCCCCTGGAGGTATGGGCCATCGCGGTTTTGAAGAAGTGTTGCGTATTTTTACACATTTGACGGCGTAAACTGGTAGCAGCCATTCCGTTATACATCCCACGTGATTTTCAAAATCTTCCTCAGTCTTCTTTGGCAATGAGCGGTGATAAAGCGTTTTTGCCCTCTTCGAGTAAAATACGGTACATACAGAAAATTCGTGATACATTTGAACCAGGCTCGTTTTAGGATGTCAGATCAACGCTAACATAAAGTTTAAAGCATGCAAATTAAGACTGGATAGACAATTTGAAGCTTTCTTGCAAGATAATGAGCTGAGATGCTGTGCACATTTTGGCGTCCTAACCGGGAGGTTTGGGCCACCCACCGGCCGTTGATCCTAAATAAATAAAAAGATGCTTTTATTGAATGTCCCCGTCAATAAGTTTAATTTTTGTCGCGCAAGGTCGAAAATTTAACTTCAAATTTCATTCAAACAGAAAAATATTATTGATCTTATTTTATGGAACATGCTTGAGTTTACCAAAATACATATGGGCCCAGGTCACCTCCATGAAGTAAGCTGTTGGCCGCTTATGCGGTTCCTGGGCTCTAAGAGAGATCAAGGTAAATACCAGCTATGAATATTTTTCTCATTGTCGAGAAAAGGATATGAAACATGGCACCGGCCCATACCTCCCGGGCCATGGCCCATACCTCCCGGTGTATTTTGATGGATCGAAAAAGCACATGATTTATTGAAAGTTATCTCGAGACAAAATAGTTGATCCCAGATGCCTAATATCAGGCACACGTTGCAGGCGAAAGGCAATTTCACGTACACACAGTGAAAAACCGGGTCTAGCCACTGCCCACTGGAAGAAAATTGCCTTTTCACAAAACCGGCCCATACCTCCCGGGTCTCCCCTATTCTACCAATTTTAATGTTTTTTACCCCACTAATGGCTAGGCTGGAATATTGTTGTCTCGGACGGTATGCGCGGGGCAAAGTGGTCGGGGCAAAGTGGCCACGCCCCAATTGGCCATAAGTTGTTTCCATCTGGATAAAAAACATTATTTATATTCAAATGTGTCGTCAGGCATTCATCTTGGCCACTTTTCAGTTGCATGAGTTACCAAATAATGCAATTATTTTTTTCTTTCATGAAAATCCTTTCTTTGTTTACCTACAGGTGGAAGATGATAAAGTAAACATCCACCCTCGCTTAAACCTTGTCACCATCAAATACCCTAGTCGTACATGAGGCAACAATTTTGTTTCTCATATCGGGACTTGAGAAGACGCCAGTGGCCGCTTTGCCCCAGGGTATGGGGCAAAGTGGCCAATATGCATAGGTTTAAAGTTTTGTCAATATCTTCCATATGTGAACGCCTTTGGAAATAAAACGCAGTTGAAATAAAAGGCAACTTAATAGGGATCACATTGGTATAGAAAGAATCTTTCCAAGTTTAAAAATCAAGCGTTGGCATCGTGAGAAGCGTTAGGGTGGCCGCTTTGCCCCACTCTCCCCTACTTGGGGTCTGTGCTGAGCGTTAACTGCTGGCTGGACTCGACAGTACTCGATAGGCGTCTCCTGTACTTACTTGGGGTCTGTGCTGGGCGTGAGCTGTTGGCTGGACTCGACTGTATAGGCGTCTATTTTACTTACTTGGGGTCTGTGCTGGGCGTGAGCTGTTGGCTGGACTCGACTGTATAGGCGTCTATTTTACTTACTTGGGGTCTGTGCTGGGCGTGAGCTGCCGGCTGGACTCGAAGAGTACTCGATAGGCGTCTCCTGTACTAACTTGGGGTCTGTGCTGGGCGTGAGCTGCTGGCTGGACTCGACTGTATAGACGTCTATTTTACTTACTTGGGGTCTGTGCTGGGCGTGAGCTGCTGGCTGGACTCGACTGTATAGGCGTCTATTTTACTTACTTGGGGTCTGTGCTGGGCGTGAGCTGCCGGCTGGACTCGACTGTATAGGCGTCTATTTTACTTACTTGGGGTCTGTGCTGGGCGTGAGCTGCTGGCTGGACTCGACTGCTGCCGGGAACACGGGCTGGGCGTGCGATAGCGGCAGCTGGTACGGTATATGTGCACCTGACGAACAGATACACCGGTCAGCAGACGTGCGGCACGTCCACGCACTGGCGATAGAAAGCAGCTTATGTGTCAGAGCATATGTCAGTAAATGTCGACAGTTCCCAGCAAGAACTGATGATGTGTGTGTCAGGGATAGATCAGGGCTTTGAGCAGAGTGTGCTCGCTGACTCACGCAATTAAAGAATGATAGAAAAAATGACGGTTTCATCAGAAGGTATAAGACAGGTCGGATTTCCATAGATTCCGTAAGCACTCTGTCGTGCTGCTGTAATGAAGTTGGTCCCTGCAATATTTCACGATAAGCCCACTGACCTGAACACTGGTCAATGTACGGTGGACACCCGCCTCGCTATTGTGTAGGATATACCACAGCGATCCCAATGACCCCAAATGTACCCGCTGCCCCTGCGGATGATGCGATTTTAGCAGCCCCGTCCTAGCTCTTCCAGTCTTGACATCCCTGGGAAATTCTAGACTGTAGATAACTTGTAATAAAAATCGCGGCATCACCTTTGACCAAATTATGGCAATTAGCACTGGCGAACATGTTAGCTTCGAGCAACTCTGCTATGTGGACTGGGATGACATACAATTTATGCGACAAAGTTCACTGCGGTTTAGTCTACATAATTTATCCATGTGATTTGAAAAGGTTGTTCCAACGAGTAATTTATCCAAGCTGCAAAGGCTATATTTGAGGCTATCTCCATTTCAAAGAAACAATACCTACCCTACCGAAAGTCAACGGATTTTCAATGCACTGGATTTGATGGCCACGCATGCACGTGGACTGGCCAATACGGCAGCGGTGAACGATAACTTTCAGTGCCGCGGGATTTTCGGTCGGTCAGGCTAGGCACTAAATGCCAAATAGAAGAAATGATGCGACTGGAATGTTCGAGGGAGTCTGATAGCTGTATCCCATTGTAATTGTAAAAGTCATTGAGTACGGAATCTGTAACGTATGAAGTTCAAATACTTTCCGTGAACCGCAACATCTCAACAACGGAAGCGGCGCGCCAAAGCTCATCAAAATGGGTGAACCATACAGGCAATAGACCACTAATACGATAACGTACTTCATGCAGCTATTATAACTGTGGGAGCCGACGCAGTCTGCTATGGGTCAGGCATTGCCTAATTACAATGGCAAGTGGGCTGAACGAAAAAGCTACGGCCGCAAACGAGTTTGGTGGCAATACAGGAAATAAGGCCTCTTTGTTAGCCGGAAACCGAAGCGAACAGTCAATAAAACGGACATAGTCGGTGCGGGCTCACACACATACAAAAAAGGATGCCTCGTAACGGTACTATGGGGTCGAAATGGTCGAAGCTGAGCCTTCAATAAATTCTCCAACAACATACATTACATTTCATATGATCGAGCCAGGCTTTACTTAAACGAATAATTCTATAGTTAACAACGCACAAATGTCTGAGTTAATCACAATGCAGTGCAATGCAAACAATGTTCACAATTATCGAAGTCATTCCGTTGAAAGGATTACTATAAAACATAAATAAATAAATGAGTTTGAATAGTGTTTAGATCCCACAACACAACAGCTGAATAATCAAACCAAGTCTTCTACAGCAATTTTGAATGAACAAATTACAGCGAATCCCAAAGCCGTATACCGCATAAGCCTTCATGTTGATATTGGACACATAGGACACATATACTAACGTTCCGCGACCCATCACGCTCTAACCACACCCCGATATAAAGTATACGTACTGTGTGAGTCCTTGACCTGACTGAGAGGGCAGGGCATCAGACTGGAGCACGGTTGGCGGCCCCGGGGCTTCAGTTTCGGGTCGCAGGCCTCGCTGAGATGACCGCGAGCGTCCCGACAGAACACTGCCCGAGTCTGCTGACCCGAGTCCCCGCAGGTCACCGAACACTGCCGGAGGGCATGACACGGGTCAGGTCAGGTCACCGAACACTGCCGGAGGGCATGACACGGGTCAGGTCACAGAACACTGCCGGAGGGCATGACACGGGTCAGGTCACAGGACACTGCCGGAGGGCATGGCACGGGGCAGGTCAGGTCACGGGTCACAGAACACTGCCCGAGTCTGCTGACCCGAGTCCCCGCAGGTCACCGAACACTGCCGGAGGGCATGGCACGGGGCAGGTCAGGTCACGGGTCACAGAACACTGCCCGAGTCTGTTGACCCGAGTCCCCGCAGGTCACCGAACACTGCCGGAGGGCATGGCACGGGGCAGGTCAGGTCACGGGTCACAGAACACTGCCCGAGTCTGCTGACCCGAGTCCCCGCAGGTGACCGAACACTGCCGGAGGGCATGGCACGGGGCAGGTCAGGTCACGGGTCACAGAACACTGCCCGAGTCTGTTGACCCGAGTCCCCGCAGGTCACCGAACACTGCCGGAGGGCATGGCACGGGGCAGGCCAGGTCATGGGTCACAGAACACTGCCCGAGTCTGCTGACCCGAGTCCCCGCAGGTCACCGAACACTGCCGGAGGGCATGACACGGGTCAGGCCACAGGTCACTGACCAGTGACCACTGCCGGAAGACATGATATGGGTCAGGTCACAGGACACTGCCGGAGGGCATGGCACGGGGCAGGTCAGGTCACGGGTCACAGAACACTGCCCGAGTCTGCTGACCCGAGTCCCCGCAGGTCACCGAACACTGCCGGAGGGCATGGCACGGGGCAGGCCATGTCACGGGTCACAGAACACTGCCCGAGTCTGCTGACCCGAGTCCCCGCAGGTCACCGAACACTGCCGGAGGGCATGACACGGGTCAGGTCAGGTCACCGAACACTGCCGGAGGGCATGACACGGGTCAGGTCACAGGACACTGCCGGAGGGCATGGCACGGGGCAGGTCAGGTCACGGGTCACAGAACACTGCCCGAGTCTGCTGACCCGAGTCCCCGCAGGTCACCGAACACTGCCGGAGGGCATGGCACGGGGCAGGCCATGTCATGGGTCACAGAACACGGCCCGAGTCTGCTGACCCGAGTACCCGCAGGTCACCGAACACTGCCGGAGGGCATGACACGGGTCAGACCACAGGTCACTGACCAGTGACCACTGCCGGAAGACATGATATGGGTCAGGTCACCCAACACTGCCGAAAGGTATCACAAGGGTCAGGTTACAGGTCGCTGCACATTGCCGGAAGCCATGACAAAGGTCAGTTCACAGGTCAATGAATATTGCCGGATGGTATGATAAAGGTCATGCAACAGGTGACCAAACAAAATTGCCGGAAGGTTTGACACAGGTCAAGTTACTTAACACCGCCGGAGGTACAGAACGAATCGGGTCACAGGTCATCGAAAACTGCTGAAGGGCGTGACATGGGTCGTCACAGGTCACTGAACATTGCCGGGAGATATGAGGCGGTTCAGGTGACCAGGCGCACCCGAAAGGGCACGTTACGGGTCACATCAAGGATCAGTGAACGCCGACCGTTGAGATCAAAGGTAGGTGAGGCCATCAAATACTGCTCGGAAAGCACTCTCTCGCGGGCATTTGGCTGAACCACGTCGGAACAGCATCTGATCCCATGCGTGATGTCAAAAGTAACGACATATTGCTGCATTACTGCGCATTACAACAAATGGTGGTTGACAAGTAGTGTCACGACCTACACCGACATTAAAAAATTACGCTTCAATATGATATTGTACTCTTTCATAAGAAACAGTCAATTTAGGGAACAGGAACAATTAAGCAGACATGTGCATGGATCCGAGAGCTGGATCTATGATCTCAGTGGATCTCTCTAAAAAATAGAGGGGTTGGATCTATGATCCGAGTGGATCTCTCGACAAAATTCAGGGGTTGGATCTATGATCCGAATGGATCTCTCGACAAAATTTAGGGGTCGGATCTATGATCTCTGTGGATCCAGCGGGCAAAAATTTGTGGAGGAGCTATGATCTGTATGGATCTCACGACAACATGTAGCCAATGAAACCCTTATCCTACATAATTGTACACCTTACAGTGCAATACAATTGAGAATTGTCACTTGTGGACATGGTTAAGACCAGTTGTAATCATTAGGTATCAACATTAAATTCGAATTCAAATCAACAACATTTGTACTACATTTAAAATAAACCAAGAACATGCACATTGCTACTTTTGTGACCAATTGTAACTTTTTCATGACAGCACTGATGACAATTTTATCAACAAGCTACAGCCCAGTGGCGCAGCCAGGATTTCGTTTCGGGGGGGTCATCGCCTTCAAAGCGGGCCCCCTAGTGTGCGGGCCCCCCACCCATTTTTCAGAATCTCCATATTTCATACGCATTCTGCTGAGCGGGCCCCTTTAACTGCACGTTAACCCTGAGCGAGTTTGAATCAGAAAATTTGGATAGAACCATAGCTCGGTAATCACCCGGTGTTCCATTTTTGCGCAAATTGACCACGACAGAAATATGTTACTATGACATATGAAATTCGTATCTTTCGAGGCCGAAATGTGCCCCTTCCGCAATATGCATAGCATATATGCAATCGGAACTGTTGCCTGCTTCTGTCGGACAAGAAATAAGTACTCCCATGTGCCTGTCCTAAATCATTTTTTGGCTACTGTGTAGTAGATTGTTCCTTTATTCTTCTTCATTACGTGAATTCGCTCATAAGAAGTTTTAACCCTCGCCGGCACAAGGGAGGGGGAGTGGTTGATGCAACCCCCTAAGGTTTTTTTCACGAATAACTCGCGTAAAAAGCGGCTGATCGCGACGCAACTTTCAGTACCCTCGCGCTGATCAATTTTACACCTACCCTAGAAATGTCATGACCCTGACCCAAATGACCTTTGACCTACTTTCCGAGACCATGCTTGGCCAGAATCGCAGTTCGGCGTATGCCGGACCGCATAAGCCGCACGTTTGCAGCCCTTTCGTGGTTTCAAGCGTTCGAACATGTGATTTGATGTTGCTCCCATGCATAAGGGTGATGTCAATGTCCCCTGAAGGTCAGGTCAGGTCATTGGCCTATGATGACCTCGGTACACTTTTTCAAGTTATGCATGTTTCTAGGCTAGTTTTTTGGAGCTGAGTTCGATTTTAGCAACCATTTGAACATTTAAGAAGTAGTTTTGGTGCCTTCGTAACATGTTACGAAGCTGTCAGAGGCGGTTGACACGTAGGTACTACGAGTACGAATACCCGGCAGGATACTGGTACGAATACTGGTTGACCTAACCTGACCTGACCCGACCTGAATGAACTTCAATATCAGGATATGGATTTTATTAGAACCATCCGGAGTCGGAGTTGGAGTCGGAGTCGGAGTCGATTTTTGAAGCCGGAGTCGGAGTCGGAGTCACCCTAAAATCCATCAACTCCGCAGCCCTGGGCCAGACCGTTGCACCTAATGAAAATTGCGCAACTTATAGAACAAGTATGGGCATTGGGCAATGTGCCTGTGAGGGGTCTCAGCTCGATCGGGCTGGTGGTGAGCACATGGCGCGTGCTCAAAAAGTGCAAATTCGCATAATAGACTTTACATGTATAACTCGGCTTGCAAAATTAAGCGAAAATGGCTAAATTTGCCCGACACGGGTCCGGTCCCCGTGCAGTATCTCGGTAACCGTGGGTCCGATCGGCATGGGGAACACAGTATCGTGTATGAGAATCGAACGGGCTATCGAATGGTCAGCGGTGCAGGGATGGCACGCGCCACGTGCACCCATGAGGGCACTTATGCTTGAAAAATTGACGTTTCGGACGTATTTTGGACTTAATGCTATTTTCGGGTGACTGTCAGGCGGAGCGGGTTCAAAAAACGCCTGTTGTCAAGAGAAATATACCGCCTCTCATGGAAAAATTGTGAAAAGCTAATTGATCAAAAACAATGTGGCACAAATCGCTGGAGAAAATGGTATTTGTTCATGACTTACTTAATGACACGGGTATTGCTGCACAACCTGGTACGTTTGACAATTGAAAATGGCATAGTTGGAAATAACATTAAATTTTGTCCAATATCCAATCATAGCTTTTGCATGACGAGCAACAATATTCTTACAAATATAAATGTTTCAAACCTCTACATAGTAATTCATCAATGGCTTTCATTTTTCAATAACCTACGTCAACCTATGTTATAGGTAATACACTTGGCATGTTCTATAGTAGAACGCATGGTTATCGGACACGAGCTCCTCGATGCGATGGATATTTTTTCCCAAACCAAAATGCTTAGTTGTCAGAAGGCAATCGACCGAAATGGCAGGGCTGGTAAAGTGTTATGTCCTATTGACGTCGTCGGGGACACAGTACCAGTAAAAGTTCAAGTACCCGGGGTCAAAATTACCACACTTAGTAAACTTTTACAGTAATAAATAACTTTCAAATAAAGCAGAAACTAAACGCAAGTAAAAGATATCATTGAATCCACTACGTATATCCCCTTTAACAAGGACATATAAAGCCCCTATACCTAATACATACCTACAACATGGTTATGAACAATTAGTAGCCACAACTCACTTCCGTTAACAGCAAAACTACCGTCGACAGTTGCTAACGAAAACTAAATCAAACTAGATGATCAAACACATACTAACAGACGCTTAGACACCGACCCCGCTGTCGGCTGTGCTATTTCAAGCGGGGTTGATTGACGACCAGTTGTAGCCAGCTAAACGACTAGACAAACGACTAGATTCGGAACCGGGGTCGGACCGGTTGGACATGGTAAATTCATGCGGGGTCGATAGTTTCTAGCCGTCGTCGTTGTGAGCTACCGATACAATAGCGACACCTACTGCATCTGTTCGACGATCGTAGCGCCCCCTACCCTTTCCGGGTTCTTCGTCTGTTACGCTACCCGCTGACCGAGTGATGCCGTGACATTTAATTAACAAACTGGAAATTTCGAAGCGCGAGTCTGATAAGCAATTTAG